ATTTTTTCACCCCTTCCGCGTTCCACCTTCGCCTTGCTAAATGCGATGCTGTTGTGTGTGGGCGGGCGGACAAAGAACATTATCCGACTCCACCTTTTTGATTCCTCAACGCACTTTTTGGGCAGCTCCTCCTAACCTTTCGGCGCGTACCGGCGTCCTATAATCATGTGAAAGCCACCTCTCAGGGTCTTGTGTCTCCGCGGCTGAAAGAAGAGGAAAAATAGTGCCAGTAACCCACCATTTCTTCTGTTATTGCCACTTAACACAACGTAAAGTACGTATTTTCAGCTGGTTTAATCGTGATCACTCCGGCGTAAGAGTGGTCAGTTTCAGGAGTGAAGGGCCATCGAAACAGAACCCATTTTCTACAAATTCATCAGGCCTTTTGGTGTGCTGTCTCCCAATGTCACTGATGATCTTTTTTGAGTGATGGAAAATAAGGCACTTTTCTTCTCGGGGGTGATTAAAAATCGCGAGAAGTCACCACTCATCTGCACAGAGTGGGTCTAGATGTAGATTCTCCCACAATAAGTGTCGCTGCATAAAAAGATGCAGTGGAGTAACACTGTGTCTACAGCGCATCCGTCCTGTTTTCACAAGCACTCAAAGTGCCCAGCTCGACAAATATATAAAACTTTGCATCTTAATGATAGACCGGAACCCCCCCCCCCCCCTCCTCCTTTACAAACACAGAGAGAGAGAGAGTGACCAACAAAAAGAGGCGCACACCCACACACACACACACACACAGCTAACACGAGGGGCTGGTCTCAGAACAGGCAGCAGTGACACCAGCGCAGCAGCCGCTAATCATTAACTTCACAGAGCGAGACGCACACAGCAGGAAGTCAGTCAGACACCTGCCTCACGCCGAGCGGATTACCTGCATCTCTTTTTAAGGGGCACATAAAGCCGTTACCTTTTTTTTAATTTTTCAAATCAACGATGACATGGAGCTTTACTGGAGGACTTGAAAGTGACTCTGTTGGATTTAATTCACATGTTGGGACTAAAACAGAAGCTACACGAAACATGCACAGCTTGCAACGTAAGTGAGATGTTCTGCATCTTTATTCACTCATTTCATTCGTCACACTGGCGCCTTTCTTCAAGACACAAAATACCACAGCTCACAGAAAGGCTGCTTTTTGTTTCCTCATACCGGGCGTGTTGTATTCTCACAGGCCAACTCTAAAACTGGGCGAGTTCTGCGCCGTTTAAGTGGGATTTATTTTTAGTGTGGACTTGAATGTGTCCGGCCTCTGTGCCGATAGGAGAGTTTCATCTGCTGGACCCTCAAGTGGAGCCTTCAGGTCACTTTAACTGGAAATCACTGCATTTAGAGAAATAATCTGTTGCGTTGAATGCAGCACGCAGAGGCCGCCCCCGAGTTGAACCTAGAAAGGACTTTCACCTCTACCAAGAACCGCGTCCGTTCTAATTTCACTCAGGACGGGGGGAGCGTTATCTCCGTCACGCTGGGGGATTACCGGCGTATTTCGGAGCTCTGGGTGCCGCTGACCGGGGGCCAAGCATTAGAATTCAGCTGCGTACGTGCTGCTGCAGCAGAGCTGGCTTTGTCCTGAGTGCCAGCAGTGGGCCGGGCTAAAGCGCCGCACGACGAGGGGGAGGGGCCTGGCAACCTGCAGGGGGGGGGGCGGGGGAGGGAGAGACGAGGGAGAGCCGAGGGTGAGCAGCGCAGCTCGGCAGAGAGCGAGAGGACGACCGAGGAGAAGCATGGAAACAGACTGCAGGTGCTCTTCTTCTGCACGGACGCTTCTGGAATGGACGCCTGCTTGGACGCATCGCGTGACGCTGAGCTGCAGCGCAGTTAACAATTGAACAAGGGGGGGGTTTAAAAAAAAAAAAGCGTTGAGAATGACCTCATCACTCTTGGGAAAGGAAAGATGCAGGAGTGGTTGGTGACGAAGCCCCCCTGCGATTGGCTGTGGTGAGTGATGTAACACGTTACTGAGCAGGCTTTTCAAATGGCTGTTTAGGCGGTTGTATCGGGAACTTCAGCACTTCTGTGGAACTGTTCAGAAGGAGCGTCCACGTATCGGGGCTTAAGAATCGCACATTTCTTGCATCTCTGGAGAGGAAACGCGATGAGACTGGAAGGAAAGCTGCTGAGAAGTGCAGCGGAAACCGTGAGCTGTGGTCGAGACGGCAGTTTGCATTTTGCACAGATTGTGACGCTTTTGCATTTTCTTCTGCCGTGTAGCAACGTGGGACGCCGGCTGCAGGTCTGATTGAGTCCGGCAGCGTCCGTTGTAGCAGAGAGGGTGGTCATGCAGGCGGGGGGGGGGGGGGGGGTGAACAAAGGCAGTGCAGATTTGTGGGTTAAAAATAGCCGGCGACCTGAGCTCTGCTACAGCTGCTGATCATCCACTGCAGATGTTAGATGACTATTTGAGGCGTCAAAATGTTCCATTTTCCACTTGACTTGCTTATCGGCTGGAAATGATCGTCGATGCAAATCTGAATGCAGCTTTGAGGCAGGACTAGGAAAAGGAGATCTGGTGGTCAGATTGTAAGTACGGAGCTGATGTTAGTTATCTAACAGAATGTGGTTATTCGGGATTAAAGCCGGCATTAGATCCATTTCCAACCCTTTTGATCCCTTCCAGTATTCACAGCGCAGCGTTTATTACGTGATCTTTTTATTCCTCCACAGAGAAATCTCCTTTCCCTGAATGAAATTCATTCCCCTGACTCATGCTTCATTTCCCCTCCCACCGGGGGCGGCGATTTTTCATTCCCATTTAATCAATGGGAGGCGGGGGCAGGGGGGCGGGGCTTGTGTTCGTGATTCACGGCATCTGCAGGATGCCGGACTGAACTGGACTCGGTGGAGTCCAAAACCGGCCTCCGGTTGCTGCTGAGCTCGACTCGAAGCGTTTATTTACGTTCTCTGTTTATTCCTCTCACAGCTCTACCTCCAAAGCCCCCCAAGCCCGCCCCCGCCCCTGCGCCCGCGACTAACAACGGTATGAACAACAACATGGCGCTGCAGGACGCCGAGTGGTACTGGGGAGACATCTCCAGGGAGGAGGTCAACGAGAAGCTGAGGGACACGGCGGACGGCACTTTTCTGGTGCGAGACGCGTCGACGAAGATGCACGGCGACTACACGCTGACTCTGAGGTACGTGTGTGACATCGCTTCCTGTCGTCAAGGCGCTCTGCCGGCGGGGACGTGGTTTTAACGGGCTTCGCTTCCTTTTGGTCTGCAGGAAAGGAGGCAACAACAAGCTCATCAAGATATTCCACCGGGACGGGAAGTACGGCTTCTCGGACCCGCTGACCTTCAGCTCGGTGGTCGAGCTCATCAACCACTATCGCAACGAGTCACTGGCTCAGTACAACCCCAAGCTGGACGTCAAGCTGCAGTTCCCCGTCTCCAAGCACCAGCAGGTGAGACCTTCCCGCCCGCGGTCGCCGCCGGCAACGCAAGCGCCCCGCTCACATTCCAGCGATTTGACCGCAACCGCGTTCCCATTTCTTTCCCCGCAGGATCAGGTGGTGAAGGAAGACAACATCGAGGCGGTGGGGAGGAAGCTGTGCGAGTACCACCAGCAGTTCCAGGAGAAGAACAAGGAGTACGACCGCCTGTACGAGGAGTACACCAGAACGTCACAGGTGAGTACCGGCCGAGAGGCCCGGCCGCCGCCCAGAGCCGCCCGCGCATGACACGATCTCACGCTGCGCTCTGCTTCCAGGAGATCCAAATGAAGAGGACGGCCATCGAGGCTTTTAACGAAACCATAAAGATATTTGAGGAGCAATGTCAGACGCAGGAGCGCTACAGCAAGGAGTACATCGAGAAGTTCAGGAGAGAAGGCAACGACAAGGAGATCCAGAGGTAACGACGCGCAAAAAAGAAAAGCGCCGTCAGCGGAGAGTGAAAAACGACGTGGAAACTAAACGTCTGTGTTGCGTTTCAGGATCATGGGCAACTACGAGAAGCTCAAGTCCCGGATCAGCGAGATCGTGGACAGCAAGCGGCGCCTGGAGGAAGACCTGAAGAAGCAGGCGGCCGACTACAGGGAGATCGACAAGAGGATGAACAGCATCAAGCCCGACCTCATCCAGCTCCGCAAGACCAGAGACCAGTACCTCACGTGAGTCCCAGAACCTAACGGGGGGGTTAAATCCGATTGGATCCGCCCTGGTTTCTAACGGCTGCTCTCCTGCAGGTGGTTGACCCAGAAGGGAGTCCGACAGAAGAAGCTCAACGAGTGGCTGGGAATCAAGAACGAGAACACCGAAGAGTGAGTATCTTCCTCTTATGAACCCTTCCAACAAATAAGCGTCCCCCCCCCCGTCCCCCATGACGCTAACGCCCGCGTTGCCTTTGTGCCTTCCAGTCAATATTCTATGGTTGACGATGACGAAGACCTCCCCCACCACGACGAGCGGTCCTGGAAACTGGGCAACATCAACCGGCCGCAGGCGGAGGCGCTGCTCCAGGGCAAGAGGGACGGAACATTCCTGGTCCGAGACAGCAGCAAAGCCGGCTGCTACGCCTGCAGCGTCGTGTACGTATCCGCCGACGTGGCGTCCGCCTCCCCGTCCAGTGTGACGGCCCGGTGCGGTTTGCTGCGAGCGGCCCGTGACCCTTCTTCTTCTTCTTCTTCTCTCCTCTGCAGCGTGGAGGGCGAGGTGAAGCACTGCGTCATCAACAAGACCTCCTCGGGTTTGGGCTTCGCCGAGCCGTACAACCTGTACGGCTCCCTGAAGGAGCTGGTGCTCCACTACCAGCACACGTCTCTGGTGCAGCACAATGACTCTCTGAACGTGACGCTAGCGTACCCGGTGTACACCCAGCAGAGACGGTGAGCCCCCCCCCCACGCCCCCACGGCTCGTTTTCCTCCCCACGCGGACACAAAGGAAAAGGTCCTCAGACGCCACGATTACAGCGATGGGCGCCGTTTGTCGTCCCCCGCCCCCTCCCCCCCCACTGGGACTTTGAAGACGGAACATTTCAGTGACTTTGCCTGACCACGAGCCTGAATGTGCATCTTTCTCTTGCTTTTTGAGCGGAGGGGGGGTGAGTGAGGGGGGGGGGGGAGGCTGCCGCAGTGGAGGACGTCAGAGGCCTTTTCCCAACGGTGCTCGTTCTTCGCCAAAGCTTTACCGGCCGGGAATGTTTAATCGCATCAGATTAAGTCTTCAAATGGAACTGTGCTCACCGGCCACAACGCTGTTCAAACCCCCCGCCCCTCTTAATGTGTTTCTGCACAAGTGTTTGTGTGTGTGTGTGTGTGTGTGTGTTTGTGTGAGAGAGTGTGAGCGAGAGATTGTCCATGTGACCAAAACCCATAGAATCAGGAAAATGTGAGATCTCTGGGCAGGTTGTGTAACACATCTGCTTGTGTTGACTGTTCAGTAGCAGACCATGGATCAGCTGATAAATGTAGCAAAATGGCACTTTTTAAGACAAAGTTTTAATTTCTTTTTTGGGGAAAAGACTTTTAAGAGAAAGGCAGAGACTTCCGCATCCTGCCTTCGTACTGTTGAGCATTAGAGTGCAGGTGAAACTATGAATGGACTCACTATTTCATGTACATATGTGAAAAATGTGCACCGTCAGGACTCAAAGTGCACCGTACCAAAAAGGATCCGTTCCTGTTTAGTTCTGATCTGCTATGCAATTCTGTTTCCTTCTGTTGCAACCCACAATATAAGCTTGTGTTATTGCTATTTCCTGTGTAAATATCCAAAAGGATACGGAGTCAAAATGCCACGAAACACGAAAAAAAATCAGATTTTTAAAAGTTAATAATAGCAACATACACTTTATTATAGATTACTTTAACAACTGGTATAAAGATGGAGATTTTTTTTTTTTTTTTGCTTCAAACTAATGTTCTCAGGCGGAGCCTTTTGAGCTGCTTGTCACAAAAGTACTATTTTCCAGAGCTACATGCTACATACATGCTACACGCTACATGCGGCTCTCTGAGGGGAAGCGATGGTGGGATTGTGACTCATGTGTAGCGTCACCGTGGAAACCACAGGTATAGATTTATTTTGTTATAAAATATATACGTTCCCACAAGAATATATCAAAGCAGACCGATGTTTAACTGATGGATACTATTAAAAGAGCATTATCCTTTTTCCACTTAGTATTTTTCTGTATCAGAAATTCACTGTTCACGCAGGCGATCGGCTCATTTCAGTCTTTAATTTCACAATCCAACCGCAGCTCCACTTCTCCCACATCTTTTAACGGTACGAGTGTGAACATATTAATAAAAGCCCATCGTGCTTATCGAGTAATAATAACATACTTTGATCATAGATCAGCCTGTTGAACATTTAGATCTATTTTATTCCCAAACTAAAATGTAATCATGCTCAGCACAGCTGTTAAATATATCTTAGCATAACAAGTTAGTTGTAAAATGAAAACATTAACATGACTAAATATTGATTAGTTCTTTTCAAACTGGCCTCTGAAGTCTCTCCCTCTATTTGTGTTAAAACGATAATTGATCTTCTAGTCTAGTGCAGCTTGAGCGACCGACTAAGATGTTTTCAGATGTATTTGACCAGAATACTTAATCGGTCATGACGTTTATTTTATTAGGAGACTTTATTCACGCCCCATCAACTCCTTTTTAATAAATGTTTGACATCATGCACCATTATCTCTGCCCCGGGTTGTACGGTCTTTTTCCATTTGAAGCTCATTTTTGTGGGTGTCCCAGACATGATTAGATTGAGATCTACCAGTGTTCCCCAAATTATGCTTCAAATCTGTATTGGGCTTTTAAAAAAAAGAAATAAACACTTCTTTTTAAGCAATGAGTCTTTCTACTTGCTTTACGGTCTTTTATCCACTTATGAGGCTTCTACAATCACGACACGCTCGGTTTCTACATCCGAATGCGGATTATCAGCCTTCTGCTGTGAATCTTTTCGGGTTTTAAACGAAAAGTAGTTCCTTGCGCCTCTTAAGATTAGTTGGACTTTCGCTGCCTGCACACGGGAGACGGTACAACTGATACATAACCAGCTTTTTGAGTGACAGCTGGAAGCCCTCAACATCTTTAAAGTGTCGGATTTGCAACATAACAAACTTGTTTCCCTCCAGAGATCGTATTCACTGTGAAGTGGAATTTATAATGGATGTATTGCTGTACATAACTTCTTTCCACTGGATTAATGAAGCAATAAGAGTTGGGGGGGAACCACATCTGCTCCGGACGCATTTGTGGTGAAAGGAGACCCTGCGGATCAATAAATAACACACGGTAAATTACAGCCCCATGAATATTTTGTATTTCCTGTAACGGATTATTGGGCGTAATCTGCAGGGATTATTTAATGGCGGGTTTGCATTAGTTTAGAGTTTAACTAAAAGGACAGAGTCGGTCGAGGTATTTAAACTGAATCATACAGGAAACAGTCGATTACAGTGAAGTCCAACAATTCCCATCACTGGAAAAGCACCTTTGTCTTTAACGCCTCGCTGCCGCTGGCGCTCGAAGAGGAGGAACTCGCCGTCCTCTGGGTCCACCGACTGTAATGCCGTCGGACCAGTTAAGAGCTGTGAGGGGAAGAGGTCTGAAGATAAGCGGTGAACTCGTTGCCTTATCTCCACCAAGATAGAGCCGGTTAATGTTCAACAGGTCTATCCAGAGCCTCTCGTGAAGAGGTTTCGGGGAACAAAGTCCGTCAAGTGTTGCCCTACAAAGAACCGACAGAAACAAACATAACGCATGATGCTCTTCTGTCTGAGGGAACAATCCTGTCATTCTCAGGCACAGCGCTTTGATGGGGACGTTCGATTCGCGTGCCAGGACATTCTCGCATGAAACAAAAAGGTTTTACGCTGAATGCAATCTAATCTTTTTGGAAACTGACGGGTTCCAGGAAGCAGGTTTACGTAGCGATCCGGATAACCGCCACGAGGAACGCCAAGAGTCCCGCCTTAAATCTGGAACACCTGCTGATGTACAGAGACAGAAATAGGAGCAAGTAGCCTTTAAAGGAACGAGGGCAATTACAGGGAAAAACAAACTGGGAACATTCCAAGTAGGCCAGACAGCGCGAAACCTCCACGTGTGCATCTGAATGGAGATGCAACCTCTGAGAAAAAGAGAAAAACTACCTCAGCCTCCCCCACTCACAGGATGTCTCAAACTAAAGAAGAAGACCTGTGGTCACATGCTGCTGAGCGCACGCACCTGCATGCACCAGATGGTTAATCAATAAATCACAGCCTGCAGCCCGACGCAGCAGGTCTCCACAGTATGAGGCGTCTGCCATCAAGATGGACCCCCTGCTGTCATACATCAGTCATTTAAGCTGTTTTAAATAAAGATTGCAGCAATTGATGTTGGATGAACAAGGAGTAGCGGTTTTCCGCGGCTGTGACCACAGGACGGTGAATCCAGCGCGCCGTCTCCGGTGTTCAGGCCCGATAACCTAATTGCTGGTGTTTTAAGGGCCTGTCAATAATTGAAGAGGCGGCGTCCACTCGGCCCCGCGATGACATCAGCTGTGATCAGTAGACGTGTGCGGATCGAAGTCAAAGTGCTGAGGGAAGTGGGCTGTGATTCCATTACTGTGCGGCTTCATCTATGGACGCGGCCCAGCGAGGTCGCGCACGTCAACAACGGGATGACGAGACGCCGCCTCGACAACAGATAAAGAACAATGTACAACACCGGAATACAAAAATAAATTAGCGTCAAAATATGTTTATAATACAAAGTACATTTTCAGAATAATGTATATTATTGAGTTATATATATTAATGTGCTCAGAGACGTTAATGTCACCACTATTGTTTCACAAAGTGCTAATTCAAGTCTTTCGTCCTCGCTGTGTGTTTGACCTCCAGGGGGCGGAGCCTCCCTCGAGCCACTGAGGCCCCTTCAGCAGTCGCCGTGGAAACGCGTCGCCGCGCTGCAACGCTCGCTCGAGCGCGCCGCCGTTAACAAACTGCGGTTCGAGCAGTTTCAGAGAGGAAACCGGTGGGCGCAGGTCGGCGTTCTTTCTCTGAGCTCCTATTTTAAAACGCACTGCGCCGTCGTGCTTTTGCGTTTGTTTGTGTTCTGTATTTGTTTTATCACATCGGACCGCATGTTCTTTCCATCGACCTTTGACCTATTAATTTTTCGCAGTTCAAAGCTTCGGTTTTCATCAAAGACATTTGATCAAATCGTTATAAAAGTAAAAAAAAATAAAAATAAAATAAAAATTTTATAAAATAAAATAAAAAAAAATAAAAGTTTGTGCACAAGGGAAGAGCTTTTTGAATAAGTTGGAATGATTATTACAGATATTGGAGGTGCGATGTTTATTTTTGCTCCTTCCTTCTCCACAGTTCCTTAGAGAACTTAGAAACAGTAGAAAAAGAAAAAAAAGGAGCTTGAAATCTTTTCGTTTAACAACCAATCGAACGCGCGGCGCTGCAGCTGATGCGATGTTCAGCCGTCGCAACACAGACGGGGATTCAGAAACATTTCAAATGTCAAAGGGCCGCGGAGGAGCCGACCCCGGGGTCAGAAGGGGGGCGGGCTTCGTGGCGACGCTAATCCCGCTTCATCCATTCGGACCCTAAAATAAACCCAGCGCTCCGAAGAATGAGCCGTAATCCCCGTCACCTACGTGCTGCTGCGCTGAGCCGCTACGTCACAGCCGGTGCTGCAGAGCTGAAAGCATCATCAAATGGGGGGGGGGCAGATGTCATAGAGGTATTTATGCAACATAATTGAAATACGACTGCATGCACACGCACAAACCCACGGCAGCAGGAAAGCTTTCAAATGTAAAAAGGAACGGTGGAACATTGTGGGATGTGTGTTAATAACTTTCATACGGAGAATTATGCAATGCTACGCTTAGCTTAGCATAAAGTCGAGGGTGCAAACAGCTCGCCTACCTCTGTTGAAATGTAAAATAAATTCACCCGCCTTCACCTCTGCACCCAAATTATGAGCTGGTTAATAATAATAATATTTAACGTGCAGCTCGTTTTGTGTGCAGATTAAACAAAGTGTAAAAACCAGAGCTAGGCTAGCAGTTTGCCTCTGTTTCCAGTCTCTATGCTAAGCTACGCTAACTGGCAAGGAGTTGATACAAATGTCATTATTATATTATATTTAGACTAAGCATGTTTCTAAATGAAATCAAGCAACATACATGTCATTTCGTTACAGGCTCTAATCAGGATTACGCCTCACAAATCTATGCAGACTATACCTTCACAAATGGGTTTTTTTGTGAGCTTTGGACCCAAAAATACCTGGAAAGTCCAGATGGCAACTTGATGAGGTAAAGAAACTGGGATTGGGTTCTGTGTGCGTGTTGTGGCAGCGATAAAGCAGCTTAAACCGGTCATGTGAGGTATCCGACATGCATGCTTTCAAACACGGCTGCAATCCTCTTAGGCCGACTCGACGTACATCTGCAGCGGCGTGATGAAATGTGCTTCTCCTTGATGCTCTGAATGCAGATCATTGAGGCGCCATCGCAGGAACAAAGAAACGCGTCTGTTGGCGATGAAGATGAAGCGACTCTCGGACGTCGGACATCCGGCTTCATGTGATCACGTCGACGCGTCGTGATCAAATCCCCAGTGATTAACTAAACCAGCGCTTCATGACACAGGGATCTATTAGAGGAGATTACTCGCCCTTTGGTAGCCCGTGAACCCACTGCACGTATGTGACACGCGTGTGCACGACGCGGCGGACGCCTGCAGCCTTTGTTGAAGGCCGCAGATGTCGGGAGATGATCACAATGATTAACGGGCATGATGGGAGATCGCTGACCGCCGTCCCGTGACACTCTGGAACAAACTTCTTCCAACCCAAACATATATTTTAAAAACATTTTACAAAACCATTTTAATTATTCCTATTAAATCCACAGGCTTGAATACAATATTAAAAAGTGTAAATAATAAATATTCATAATAAGAGGAGCGGACGGGGATTTAAGGACTCCAATTCAAACATAGCACCGACTCTCGGGAGGAAGTTTCCTTGAAAACGACGAATGCGAACGGGGGTTTTCTTTTTAAGTAACGGAGAAGGGTTTCTTATTTTGGCTCCCGTTTGACCTCAGCGCTGCTTTACACCCCCCCCCCCCCTCCCCTCCAACGCTGATAAACGTATCTTTGGCTAATAAAATGTAATTTAGCTGAAGGGACATTGGAGGAGGCGCTTTGAGCAAACTGATAAAATGTTGTGCAAACACACGGTGTCGCAACGTGGAGCCGTTCACAGAACTGTTGGCTAATTTTGGTTCCCTTGTACTGAGGTGGGTCCGTGGTGACCCCCCAGCGCCCCCCCCCAGACAGGCAGCAGGCCTCTACCCTTAGTTACTCTCTAGTGAAGATACATGAAATGCTTCAGGGGCCACGGCTATGCTAACTGTTAGCAGCTAACAGTGAGGTTTTATTTACCTGTCATTTTATTTTATTATTTTCTACATTAAACATTTATAAATATCCGTGTGTATGCTGGAACTTACTTCGTACTCACTTGTGTTGTAAAATCATAAATATTATGTATATTTAGTCATAAACCAAACGTAACAGCTTCCACTTGATAAAAGTGTTCCCAACGTCATCGGGGTCGATAAAACCTCCCAAGAACGTGATTGCAGTCCGTTCAGCAGATAAACATCTGGATTGGGGCTTATTTTGAGCCCAACAGAACGACGTTCTCGTTATCCGTCCTCCTGCCAACAGGAAAGAATTGTAGCGGGAAAATGTGAAGCTGCTGATTTTTTTTTTTGCCAAACAAAAAGGTGCCAGTCAACCGGATGAACGAATCCCCTCAAGATCGAGGGGCAGGATTTCACGGTTCCTCTCGGGCGTCACAACGGCACTCGCGTCGCGACCCCCCCCCGAGGCCTCGTTCAAAAACATCTCGGGGAGAAATTCGAGCTCGGCACTTTGCATTCGTGGAAATCCAGTCGGAGAGTTCTTTCTAAAACGGGGAGAAGTCCCGGCTCTCTGCCAGCCGACGTCCAGCATCTCCTCGTTCCTCCGTGTAAACACTCGACCCTGGACAGCCGAGCCCAACAGCACGGAACGTTCTGAGAAACCTTCCGCCCGGCTCGACCTCGAGGAAGACCGGACGCACGAGGAGGCCGGAGCGTACTCGTTGACGAGGGCCTCAAAACTAAACACGCGGTACGAAGAAACATCACGCAGGGAGGTCACGGAGGTCGGTGACGCGGGGTCGGATCGGTGGAATGAACGACAGCTCAGGACCAGGACGTGCACGTACGTGCCTCACTTCAAAGCGTTATCTCCAAGAAGCTCCCCCCTCGTTAGAGTTCACGGCTGGAAGCTCAGCTAATGGATCCCGCGACTCGTGCAGAGCGCATTGATTTGTGTAAACCTGCCGTGTGCACAAAAAGGCCCCGAAGGGCCACGGAACAAAGATATCGGCGCCTTCAGCCGGAGCGGCGGAACGTTTCTCCGATACATGAATAGGAGCCAGGAAGTGGCTTTAGTTTTTGTGGTTTTTATGTTAATAAAAGTCAAGTCAGCGTCAAGATGATTGACTATGAGCTTCATGACGCCACCTGCACCCGCAACTCTTTTAATAACCCTTTTAACCCCCATTAAAATATATACGGCTTTTCAAAACTAAAGGTCTTTTTACATGAAATTAAAATGTATATTTTTCCATATTTTTTGACCAACTCTTTTTTTTTTAAATTACATTCTTCCGACTAAACATTTGGACTTTTTTTTTCAAATATCTACTTTTTTTTTTTTTTTTACCAAATATTTGATGAAATGATTATTCTGAACATTTTTGATAGAAGTTCATCTCAGTTTCACATTCAGAGGCGACGCTGCCACCAAGTGGTACAAACGTGTACAACAACTAAACATCTGCTGACTTTTGTTACTTCTCTTAAAGAGCTCACACACAAATATCCAACTAATATCTTTTATTCGTATTGAAGGTTACAAAAAAAAAAATTAAAATAGGACTTCAGTGGCATTAGTGGTCTGCAAATGGCCTCTTTGTAAACACACTTCATGGAGTTATTTTATTATATCCATTAAAATGTGTCATTGTTTGAACATGAACACTGAATTAACTTTCACTTATTTTAGGGGGTGTGACGCCCTCTGACTATGTGCCCGTTGACATGTTACTGCTTCAGTGGATACACAATTCTACAAGGACCCCCCCCCCCCCCCCTGTATGACAGATGTTTGGCCCCAAAGACACTCGTGTCCACTTGGGCTCAAACTCTTAAATATACGAGTTCCAGATTGGGACGCTACACTGTTTCGTGTGTATTTGACAGAATCATTATTAGACGAGGGGAAACCGGAGGTTATTGATGGGCTGGGGGGGGTGTTGGAGGTGGGGAGGGGTTTAAGGTGGGGGGGGAGGGGGTTAAAGAGGGTTCACGGGTCTACGATCGCTTTTTTCTGCTTTCAAACTTCCCGAAGTCGGCCGGCCTGATCTTCATCTCGGCGAACGGGATGGAGTGCTCGTGCGCCTTCCAGTGGAACCAGTTGATCCCCTGAGGAGCAAACGGGGAGACATTCAGCACGTCAGCTTCTCCCAAACGTCCCACAGACGCGCCGGGGGAGAGAGGGGGGATTTTGACGAGGGGGTTTTTTTTAAGCAGCTAAACGGTAATCTTCTCTTCCCCCGACAAACGGCGCCGCGGCGGCGGACGTACGCACCTTGCTGTGGCTGTCGTCGCCGTATTTCCCCATGAGGTTGACGCGATGGCAGTTCTTGTACCAAAAGGCTCCTTTGTACGACAGCGCGCAGTTGGTGACGGCGATGTCGTTGTCGTTGTCGTAGGTGGAGAAGGGTCGGCCCTGGTGGTACGACATGGAGTCGCCTGGGGGGGGAGGGGGGGGGAGACGTTAAGGAGGGACATTACGTCAAAAGGTCGTCAGGTCGCGTTGATGCGGCTTTAAGTGCGCTTAGTGTTTAGCTAAAGCCGGGAGATAATTAGCTTAGCTTAGCTTAGCATGAACGGCTATCCCAACTCTACTAAAGCTCAGACGCGTCACCCCATCGAACGCCAAGGCGGCATGAAGGGAGACGCGTGTCGGCCTTGAAGGTCCCGTGAGTCCTACCGGCGGTCCCGCTGTACGAGCCCACGGAGACTTTGTAGCGCGTCTTCGGCTCGGCGACGGTGAACCGGTCGTACTGGGCGTAGGCCGACTCCCCGCTGTCCCTCAGGTCCACTCGCAGCTCGTAGTGGCCAGAATTGGTGATTTTATGGAGGTTGGAGAGACCTGAGGAGAGTCAACGTGTGAGTCGCCAGAGGAGATGACGGGAGGGAACAAAACAAAACGCCGCGGCGCTCTCACCCAGCCAGAACTCATCGTTCATGTTGCCGAAGCCGACCGTGTAGTTCTTCCAGTTCCTGAAGAAATCCAACTTTCCATTCTGCCGTCGGAGGAAAACCTGCAGAGCGCCGAGTGTCACCGATGGCCCGTCGCCTTTTTTTTATATGAGATGGACCTGAGGCGGCTCGATTCACTCACCATCCAACCCCCGCCGTCCGTGGTCATGTCACAGTACACCTGGACGGGCGGTCCCTGCTCCCCCCCCACGTACACGGTGTGCAGGCCGGAGCTCGTCTCGCCGTTCAGCAGGACCTGCGCGCAGTCCTTCGGCCGTCTGTGCAGCTGTCCGACTGGAAGCAAACGCCCGCAGTGAATAAGTGAAGCACGGGGACGCGGCCTGCGGCGCCGCGCGCCGCGTCCTTACCGGTGGTGAAGGCGGCGTCCGCGTGGCGGCTCCTCTGCGCCCCGGCGATGGCCTGCAGTCTCACGCTGTACTCGGTGGAGCGGGTCAGCTCGGCCATGACGTAGGAGGACGCCGTGGGGCTGAGCACCACCTCCTGCATCCACCCACACGAGGCATTTACAAAACGCAGCCCCCCATTTCATTTTAAATTTGGTATGAAGCACCACGGCCTTCGTACCCTGACTGCGCCGCCGGCCGGGTAGAAGCTGAGCGTGTAGCCGCTCACGGCCGCCTGCGGAGGTTTCCACGTGAGCGTCGCGCTGTCCGCTCCGATGTTTACGGCCGTGACATCACGGGGAGGATCCACGTCTGAAACAACAACAACAACAACACGCAGCTTTACCGATAACCAAACTGCAGAGAGGATCAGTAAACGCCGAGCATCTCTCCGTCCCGGCGAGCCTACCGGTGGTGAACTCCGTGCCGGCGGAGTCGCTCCTGCGAGATTCCTTTGTGGCGTGAACTCCGACGGTGTAGCGGGTTCCCGGAACCAAGGAGCCCATCTGGAACGCCGCCGTGTCCCCAGAAACGTGCTCCACCACGTGGGACACTGCGAGGCGGGACACGCCCGTCCACCGATTAACCACATGTCACACTAGTTGCGCGTCAATCACAATCACACACACACACACACACACTGGGGATGTTTTACCACCTGATGTTCTGTACGAACGCAGCGTCTCTACCTGCTTACATCTGGAGCGAGATCTTAAAGTGTAATCGATCAAATAAAGACACACCGGAATCCGCGCTGTAGGTGATGACGTAGCCATCGACGGTTGCCACGGAGGGTTGCCACAGCAACAGGGCCGAGGTGTCGGTGACATTGGCCACGCTCAGACCCCGAGGCCTGTCCAACGCTGGAGGACACGAGACACACAGACGAGGAGGATTACAGTCAGAAGTGTTGCGTGATGGAGGAAGAGGAGGAAGAGTGACGCCCACCTGTGATCACGTTGTCTGTGGTCGGGTCGCTCTCCTCGAGGCCCTTCACGGCGCTTACGGTCACTTGGTACGTTTTGCCGGGGATCATGTCTGGCAGCAGCGCCTCGAACACGTCTCCGTCCACGGTGACGGACAGGGGGCTTCCTGTGGGGGGGGCGCAGAGGAGACGGTGGGTCCCATCACTGAAAAACTCACTTATCATCATCAATAATAATAAAGTAAAATAAATACAGATCATTACTTACGTCAGTGGAATATTGTTAGTGACAGTTGAATTAAACTAAACCGTATTGATCAAATCCACTGATTGACCTCCTACCTCCTTCAGAGGGCACGTAGGTGATGCGGTAGTTATCCACCGGAGAGCGCGGCGTGGACCAGTGAACCACGGCGGAGGAGCCCGTCACGTGGGAGAAGCGGAGTCCTCTCGGAGTGCTCAGGGCTGCGGGGCGAAGGAACATGCGCCGGGAAAAGAAAAAAAGGTGAATTAAAGTGAGGAAAATATGTCCTGAAATATCCAGAGGACACGAGGCCCTCGGAGGCCCTGACGGGGCGGGCGAGGCCTGAAGCGGAGGGATGAGGAGGATTGGTTAGTTCACGGCTCACCTTGCCGCGTTGACCTTTGACACGCGAGCATGTACCTGTCTGAGCGACCCCACTGACCGGTTGGGAGCGCTGGTCCAGCGAGACGCCGTAAAGCTCGATTTCGTACTCTGTGCCGCTCGCGAGTCCCGTTAAGACTTTGGTGCGCTCGGCCCCCCCGGCGGCGTACTCCCGCGGGCGGGCCGCCCGCTTGGCGTCTCGTATCCGGATCACGTACCGGTCGAACAGATCGCCGTCGGCCGCCCACGACAGACGGAAACCGTCGGCCGTGACGTCCGAGACGAAGAGATGCTCCACCTCCGGCTCGGCCTCTGGTTAGACAAGGGGGACACAGCGGGGAGGGGGGGGGGGTTTGTCTCTTTGTCCCTCCCCCAGTCGGCAGGCTTCCAGGTGGAGGTCGGAGGTTGTTACGCTCAGGCGCCCGTTAGTGTCAATCAAGAGAGTCAAGATGCTTTTGTATTGTAAATGTTTATTGCACATTCTTTAGAAGAGGCTGGAAGGCCCCCATGCGTCCCACGAGGCATTCAGTGCATTCAGAGGCAATGAAACAAAGGAGGTTAGAGGTCAGATCGACGGACACGTCATGCTCAGAATGTCTGGTTGTTGTCAGTGTTTTCCAGCGTCTGATCGTTTAGGTTTTTTCTCCCCTTGACCCAGATTCATAATCCAGCACGAAGGGAAAACGAATGAGGAAGCAACATGGTGAGTAACTTTAAAAAAATATAAAAGTAATCAGATCTGAAGGAAAACACATTTTAAAATATGAAAACAAACAAAAGACTGCTTGCTCATATTTTGGGGAGGTACAAGAGAAACATTCACATCTCGTCCTCGGCTTAGAAAGGAAAGATCGAAAGAAAGTGAGATCGTTCTGGAGAAAGAGCCGTAGTTTAAATCCGAGTTCGGGTCACAGAACCGAGCCTCACCATCCAAACGTGGCGGGGGCAAACTTTATTCCCGTTTATTTTAAATCACTAGACAAAGCATCAAAAGCCACCTATGGACCAGCCAGGTTGTGATGGTGAAACTTCAGTTGAGCGATGACGCATTCGGGGGGCCGCGAGCGGTACCTGTCGCAGCCACTGTGGTCAGAGGCCGAGAGAGGAGGCCCGACTCGGACACGCCGGTGAGCCGGACCTCGTAGCCTATGCCGGTGATGAGGCCCCACACGTCCAGGTGGCTTTGGTTTCCTGGCACGGTGAACTCCTGAGGCTCCAGCAGCCAGCCGGAGTCAGTCACCGCTACGTGAAAGTGCCTGAAGCCGCCACTAGAGGGGGCCGATTCCTCCTCCTGCTCCTCCTGCCGCCGCTGCACCGCCCACGACACGCGGAAGCCGAACGGCGTTACGTTGGAAATAGTCAAGTTCTCCACTTTAGGCAAAGGTGCTGGAGAGGGTTTGATTGTGTTTTGTGTGGGAGGGGGGGACAAGAATCCGTCAGGAGGACAACGTGTGCAAAGACCGCAAAAGCAAATCCCAACTTGTGTGTTATGAGCAGCCCAAAGATCTGATTATCCACCGAATTTAAAAGGCCCAAAACACAATAAAGAGCAAGTTGCGCATGCATCCTCAAGTTCCGTAGAACTGTGGAAAATGGATGCAACCTCATATTTTGAAGCTTGGATTTAATATCTGGGTGAGAAAGAGGATGTGACGAATCCTTTGCGGCTGGGATTTATAACAATAAGACTCCCAAGAAGAAAAGACTGAAAGATCTTGTACAAAAGTGACACTGTTTACGTCATGAGCTGCATCTAGTGGCCATCAGTGGAACTGCAGCTTTTGGCCCGAATTATAAAAGTTTAATCAATATTTAGTAAAGTAATAAACAACATTTACTCAACTAGGTTCAAGCTTGAACTTCTTCCACTTATTACACTTTTAATTTAGTCTAAATTGACAGAAAACTGCACGCAGTACCTGTGACGGCGTGGGCCAACACGGAGGGAGTGTGGCGCCCGTGAGAGATACCGTACAGTTCGATATCGTAGCCCGTGGCGTCCGCCAGGTCAGTGAGGGTAACGTTACGGGCTTCGCCGGGCAGTCTGAGCTCCAGCGGATCGGACCGCTGCTCGGCGTCGCTGACCCGGACAACAAAGCCGTCGAAGTGGCCCGACACGGCGCTCCAGGACAAGCTCAGGTTATGTGGGCTCACGGGGGACGCGGCTACGGGCCCCAACTGTGGGACGTCCTCTGAGCAGAAGATAAATAAAAGGGTTTGAATCACAACGTGGTCGCCGAATAAAAAAAAACGAAAGTAAAGCGTGAGGTACCTGTCGTGGCCACGTCGAACAGGGGCCGCGTGCTCCGGCCGCCGGCGCTGGCGTAGAGCTTTATGTCGTAGCTTGTGCGCGCTTTGAGCCCGGCCATGACCGTGGAGCGCGCCCCCCCCGGCAGAGCGCGCCCCATCGCCTGCGAGGGCAAAGCGGACTCTCTGACTTCCACTATGAAGTTATCAAACGCCTTGGCGCCGGCCCGCCACGACAGGGAGAATCTGTCTGAGGTAACGTTAGATACGAGCAGCCCGGACAAATCGGGCTCTTCGGCTACAAGTGGGAGGGAGGGAGAGAAAGATATAAAATGCGTTTCATTCGTCGAGCCTGCAGGCCCGAGCCGGGTCCACGCTGCAGATGTTCCAATAAGTGACCCCACGCCTTGGAGATACCTGTTGATGCGACAATACTGACGGGGCTCGTCCGGGATCCCTTGTACGTCCCGGAGACGTAGGCTACGTAGTCGGTGCCGGGCCGCAGCCCCGTCACCTCGAGGGACTCCACGCCGCGGGACACGTTATATTCCTTCTGCTCCGTCAGCCAATCAGAATCAATTAGCTCCAGGGTAAAACCATCAAATTCTCCTTCAGTGCCGTTCCAGGAGATTGAAAAGCTCTCGGACGTTATGTTTGAAATATATAGTTCGCCAACCACTGGTTGACTCACTGAAGGGAGAAATCGTCGTTAGATTTTCATTAAAAAACAATTTGCAGAAGACATTCTTAAAGAGGTAATAAAAGACTGGATGCCGACTGGTTTGATTCATCACATTAAAACGTGTGACTCACCAGCACAAACTGCAAAATCCTGTCTGAGCAGCTTAAAATATTCATTTCATGCAGATGTTTTTGCATAGTTTTACATGTCGACTTGACTTTTAAAAAATTATACAAACTATAATAATATATGTGAAAAGAGTACTGGCCGGCAAGGGTTTATTTTAATGTGAAGGATGGGGCAAAGAAATATAACCCGTATATAAAATATCTCTTTCATGCTCGTCATGCAGTTGATCAGAGATAAATTCTGCAAACTTGTACAAAGCAGAAGAGCAAATAAACAGTTAATGCGAAACATGCAGATAAATTGAGCGTCACTCGGATGTAAAAACATCGTTTTTTACCTCGATAACGGAGATTTAATCATTTGTTAAAAAGGGAAAGGAGGATATTTTGAATCGGAATCGACAAACTGATCTCGGAGACTGACGGAGCTCAATTGTCACTGAACTCTGAGGCGTGCGAGCGCGTCGGCGAGCGAACGCTCCCTCGAGGTCAATCAATGACTCCTGAGCGAGTGGTGAAAGGGATGAAATGAGACGGTCACGCTGTGAGTGATCTCTTTTGCTTCTGCAGTCGTTTGCTGCACATCAACGTTCAAACCCCCGACCACGATGCGGGGGGGGGGGTGTCGGGGGATGTCGGGGGGCTTCATGCACTTCGTAACGCGTCCCCGTCACCCGGCCCTCTCTCAGCTGGACAGAAGCAGCGGCCGGAGGGTAAAAAAAACGGCTCGGGGCCAAACAGAAACGAGGTTATTATGTCGCTCTGGCTTTCAGTGCAGCGGCGCGCGGCGTGCTTGGCAGACACCGACTGAAAGTTACATTTTAAAGAAAGGGAGGCGGGGGGGGGGGGGGGGGGGGGGGGGGTGGCAGGGAGGATAGAAGAGTTAAAAGGGGTCAAGAGCCCCCTCCTGCCCCCCAAAGAGCAGCTGCAACGGTGCAAGTTGCAGGTACCTGTGGTGGCTTGGGTGTACACGGGCTGGAGGAGGGAGCCCCGGTACATCGCGTACAGGCCCACCAGGTAGCCGGTGTGGGGGCGGAGCCCGGAGAGGCCCAGGCTGCGAGCGTCCCCCGACAGGCTGAGGCTCCGGCTCTCCTCCGCGTTCTCCAGGTTCGTCACCTCAATGACGAAGCTTTCAAAGTCCCCCCCGGCGGGAAGCCAGGAGGCGGTGAAGCCGTCCCACGTGACGTCAGAGGTGGAGAGGTTCACCGCCAGGGGCCTCGGCTCCTCTGGTAGATAGACAGATCAGAGTGTGTGGGAGGGGGGGGGGGGGTCAACCGGGACGGACGGCAGACACGAGTCTGTTAACCTCGCGGTGAGTACGGCTGAGAAGTTGGGCCACAGTAAAAGGAAAAATAGCCACGGAATTTAGGATTAAAGTGTGAATAGCAACAACATAACGGGGAAAAAGTAACATTGAAGAAAAAAAACTAATATTTTAGGGTAAAAACCCCCCACTTTTGACTCTAATCTACATCCTTAATTTTGAAGAAATGATATTTTGACTTACAACTTGACAGAATGTTATAGCGCAAACATCAAAGAACTATAAGGGATGAAAGAAGATCTTTTATGATGAAACCTCCTGAAATATGTAGAACATAAAGTAAAAAGATGATGATGAGGACGTGTTGTGACGAAGGCCGACAAACAGGGGAAAGGAAACATCTGCTCCGTGTACCTGTGGTGGGAAACACTAAAGACCGCTCCCCTTGCACTGTGACATCAGATCGCGTGGAGGGGGACAAACCCCCCACGACCGGTAGTGAGTTCACATGAGCCCCCAAAACGTCCACCGCGCCAGCGCTCTCGGGCTCGGCGCCCGAGCCCGTCACCCCGGAATCGGGGGGGTTTGGGAGAAGGGGGGGGTCTGGGCTTTGAGCTGCAGCCAGAGCAGCTGTTGTGGCATCTTCGATGCTCAGCATGAGAACATCTGGAGAGGTGGGCTCGGGTGCTGGTGTGAATAAAAAGGCAGGTTAAATTATTGAATCTGGTCGACTGGGAAGACGAGACCGGTGAAGAAGAAACTGGGTTAAAAAGAAGAACACGTCTTATGCTCAATCCAAATGACTCGGCCCTTAATAACCTCATTCTCTTATTTCCTCGCTCCGTTATTTCGGACTTTGACAACTTTGTCGTCAAGCGACAGCTCGGGCGTTAATGGCTCTGGAGTCAGCGCCATTAACCTTTGAAGCCTCTGGGTAGTCCGCCGGAGCGGAAGTACACCGTGCTCTTCAAATACATGTTGAAGCCATGCACAGCCGTTCTAGAGGCCCGAGTCACTTTTCCTTCATGCGAGCGACGTACGTGGCCCTCTTCTGCCGGACGACCGTTAATTCGGAAATGGAAATGCAGACGATGAACGATGCACATGGAATTGGCTTTAGGAGAACAAAGTGGTTGCTTTTAAACGCTCAGATGCGGGCGGAATTCTCGTATTTCGGGAGGCAGCATTCTGCTGGTGAGACGAGCTCGGGTGAGTCGGTCTGTTAGGTTTGTCTTCATCACGTCATGCCAAATAGATAAAATACCCGCATGCAAATCGTATCCAGAACACCCCCCCTCAAAAAGGGGACAAAGCGTCCCTAACCTAAAAGACGAGCTTATACCTGTGACTGCGACAGCTTCAAGTAGCGCAGATCTTTGGCTACCAGTGATCCCATAAAGTTTTATTTGATATTCTGTGGATGCATTCAGGCCCCGGATGCGAGAGCCAGCGGCATCTCCGGGCAGCTGGGCCTCTCTCGCATCCCGTAACGGCCGAGCGTCTTTATACGCCACTGTCAGACTATCGTAGACGCCGTGAGCCTTTAGCGTCCATGTGAGGTCAAATCCGTCAGGCGTGACGCCCGAGACTGTCAGCTCGTCCTCGGGCTCCGTCCCGACCGAGATCTGGGACTCGGAGGGGTCTAAGTGCGCGAAGCTAACGACATTGTCCTCCGAGCCTTTGGGAGACGGGAGCTCGCGGTCGTCTGAGTCAGCTAAATAAAACGTGAAAGAGGCTACAAGAAAAAACAAAGAGGCACAAATCAAGAGAGAGCGTCATTCAGACGGAGGCAGCTTTAAATCTCTGAATACGACGGAAGGCAGACTTACAAATAATATAAACTGTTGAGCAGTATTTTACTGAATAACTGAACGTCATTTTCGTTCATCTAAACCTCTGAAGAAGAGATTGTCTGCTTTCCTCCTTTGCGCGGCATGCGTTATTATTCCCACCAGCATAATGCGGGGGAATCGATCCGTACCCACCTGTGGACGCAGACGCGGTGACCGGTGCGCTCCTGCTCAGCCCCCTCTCAGCGGACAGAGTCAGGGTGTAGCTCATTCCCGGGGTCAGGTCGGACAGGACGTAGCTGGTGGCCGCGCCCGGGATCTCCGCCTCGCCGACGCGGCCGTCCTCGGAGGAGTACTCCAGCCGGTAGGCGCCCACCCTGGCCCGAGGCCTCTGCCAGCTCAGGGCGAGGGAGGTCTCCGTGGACTCCGTTCCTTCCAGGTCTGTGGGGGGGTCGATATCTGACGAGAAAACACGTACGCGTGAGAACGTCCTGGTGTGTCTGCGTATGGAGGCGCGTGACGGAGGGGGGAGGGGCGGTTCTCACCGGTTGCGGCGTTTGTGGTGGCGGGGAGGCTCTGCCTCTCGTTCTTTGTGGCGGTCACGCCGATCCCGTACTCGGTGCCCGGGTGTAGCCCTGCGACGCAGAGGGATGGAAGGAGGGTTAGCGAGGCTGGTGTCGCCCCGTCGACGCGGCGAAGCCTTACCGGTGATGGTGGCTCTGGTGGTTTGCCCCGGGCCTCGTGGGAACAGCTCCTCTCCGTGGCTCGCTCCGGAGATGGGGCTGTACTTCACCAGATAGCCTCCGACGTCGGCTTGGCTGTTGGTCCACTCCAGAGTGACGCTGTCGTCAGTCTGGGACAGGCTCTGAAGGTCCAGGGGGGCGTCCAGGGCTACCGAGGGGAAATGCGTTCACTGTCACATCAGGGGATTTCGGGGTTCTGCCCAACCACGCATGTAGCTGCAGCTTCAAGGTAAATACGAATAAGCCCCTCCCAGCCTACCGGTGGTGAAGGTGGCCACGGCGGGGGCGCTGGCGAGCCCTCCGCTCCTGGAGACCAGCGACACCTTGTACTCGGTGTCGGGCCTCAGAGCGCCGAGGCTGTGCTGCTTGTCCGAGGGGGAGATGTCCACTCTGGTTTTGTCCGAGGGGTCGGCGCTGGGACCGTAGACCATGGAGAGTCCGTCCGTGGGAGACGCCGGCTGAAACCAGACGACCAGAGCGGAGGAGTCCGTCACGTCCTTCACCTCCAACTGCCGGGGGCCGTCGATCTCTGCGGGGGGAGGGTGCACACGGTGATCGGGTGAGGGAATGAAAGTATAAACATCTTTAAAGTGCAGAGGAAATGATATCAGTATTAAGCAAGACAAATTCCTTGGATGTCGAAACGTCTTTTGGCAATAAATGTTGCTGATTCCTGAAGGTGATGATTTACGGATTAAGAAAAAGCAGCATTTCTTATCTGTTTTTTCTCTAGAAATAAAAGTATTCCAGCCTTGATGCTAAGCTAACCAGCTGCATATACAGCATAAAAGACACGAGTCCAGTCTAATTGTCAGCAAAGCGCTGCGCTTTCGTTCCGTTTTTCGACGGAAAAGTCTGCAACGGTTGTTTTTTTTAGCTGTAAATCGCTTTTTTCCCCGTCTCTGAAGGAATGACGTAGTTTCTAAATAGTGACATTCACAAATCAAGAAAAGTCTCAGCCTGACATTAACTCTCCTGCCAGTTCTTTACCCTTTGTACATAGAAACAGCACTCATAAGAGTCGCGTCTGCTCTCTCATAACAGAAAGCAATAACTTGCATCAACAAGGGAAATGCGATCATGAAATATAATGTGGGTTCCGCACGCACTCGTTCTCATGTGGAGGAGACACATTTTGTCCCTGTAAAAAGGACCTCTGAGGATCTAAAGGTCACGTAAGGTTCATAATCACCACCATCCTTCAAGGCCATGTCTAGTTTTCAACTTGGACAAATAAATTACACCAGCAATGAGAGCGGCTTAACGGCTTTTCCATGCGCGATAAAACCGGTTTGTCCGACTGCAGAAGCAACTGGAGGCGATTCCGACACGGTAACGTGTGGTCACGCAGGAGAGAGTTGTTGCTCCTCTGTTGGATGGAGCTGTGGGGAGCCAGCAGAGATTTATCACTCTTCATTATGGAATTTCGTGGCATTGATTTTTTTTTTTTCAGTTTTTTAAATATCTGGCAGACGCAGCAGGAAAATAATGTAGCACCTGATCATCCAGGTAGAAACTGGGTCATTTTAAACACAATCTCACAGGTTCATTCTCAATAATACAAAGTGCTGAGAAAGTGTGAGACTCACTGGTAGTGACTCTTTTGGACGTTCGGGGACCTCTGGTGTCGTTCTTGATGATGTTGATGGAGACTTCGTACTCCTGACCCGGCCCCAGGCCCGACTGGACAAACCAGTTTTGAGATGGTGGAAGTGTGCTCACCACCTCTCCGTTTTCTTCTTTCTGCAAGAACACAAATGTAAAAATATCCAGTTGAGGACGTGAGAACACAAGACCAGATTAAAAAGGACAGAGGGCTTCATCAGCCCATTAGCACGAGGGTCCGCAAAGGACATTCATGAAGCCTCTGCAGTATAATTTAAAAAAGCCTCCCATTTATCAACTGGCAGAGTAATTTATTTCCTAAGCATGAATTCCAGACTTCGCCGTCACTGGGTTTTTTTTCTGCACATGTCAAAGCAATTTGAAATGGTTAGCACTGAAATAAATCCATGTTTCCAATAAGCCGGCTCGGCTTTAACACTTCTCACTTTTCGCCGCATCGCTTAATAAAATCCCGGGCGAGCCTTCAGAAGAGACGATCAGACTGACCGGGTTGCGGAAATAGATCTCCCAGCCATCAAAGGGGATGTCCAGCTGGTCCCACATCACCCTCACCGAGCTCTCTCGCGGTTTGAATATCACTCCCTCCGGCTTGGGAAGCTCTGGGAGGAAGGAAACAGAAATAGCCGTCGTCAGCTGAGCCACGTCGACTCACGGTAATCAACATTGAACTGCGACGTACCCGTGGCCACCCTGGCACCGACAGGCACGCTCGTCGCGTTGCTCAGAACGGCGTAGACGTTGATCTGGTACTCGATGCCGGGTTCCAGCTCTTTGACGGTGGCCGCCGCTTTGTCCCCCGACACGGTGAACTCCGCGTGGAGACCGCCGGGGCTGGTGGGCACGTAGGTGACTAGGTACTCCGTCACCAGCATGTCGTTGCTCCACGACAGCTCCACCGTGTCAGGGGTCACCTCGCCAACGGTCAGGTCCTTTGGAGGAGACACTGGAGAGGGGGGTGGGGGGGCAAAGGGGCTGTTATCTTGGACGTGTCCTCGTGCCTTTAAACCACTACAGAGCGAATGCAAACTCCAGACACACATCTGGCAGCGGTGTGAAGAGCCGCCAAAACGGCGAACCGGATGCGGCCTCGACTGACCTGGTTTCTCTCAAGATGAGTTTTGAGAAGAAATGACTTCACACCGCGTGAGATTTCTAGTGAACACATGGAACACGTTACCAGCCGCTCACCTCCTGAGCAGTCGTCGCCGATGAACCCTTCGTCGCAGACGCAGCGGCCGCTCTCGCAGCGGCCTTTGTCCCGGCAGCCGTTGAGGCAGCTGAGCTGCGCGCAGCTCTCTCCCTCGTGCCCGCTGTCACAGGCGCACCGCCCGTCCACGCAGCGGCCCCTGCCGTTGCAGTTCGCCGGGCAGGCGAGCGCCGAGCAGTCGTCTCCCGAGTAGCCGTCGCGGCAGACGCACGCGCCGTCGACGCAGCGGCCCCGTGCCAGGCAGTCGTTGGGACACGCCCTGCGGCCGCAGTCCTCGCCGGAGAAGCCCTCGTCGCAGACGCACTGCCCGTCCACGCAGCGGCCGCGGCTCCGGCAGTCGCCGGGGCAGCTCAGCTCGCCGCAGTCCGAGCCGGCGAAGCCCACGCGGCACTCGCAGCGGCCCTCCACGCACTCGCCGCGGCCGTGGCAGTTGGAGGGGCAGGTCCTGCCGCCGCAGTCCTCCCCGACGAAGCCCTCCTCGCACACGCACTGCCCGTTGAGGCAGCGGCCCCGCCGCAGGCAGTCGCTGGGGCAGGAGAGCTCGGCGCAGTCGTCCCCCTGGAAGCCGACGTCGCAGGCGCAGCGCCCGTTGACGCACTGGCCTCGGCCGTTGCAGTCGTTCAGACACGCCAGCTGGCTGCAGTCGGCGCCCTGGTAGCCCGGTTGGCAGATGCACACGCCGTTGAAGCAGGCTCCCCGGTCGCTGCAGCCGTTGAGGCAGGTGAGCCGAGAGCAGTCGTCTCCGCTGAAGCCGGCGGCGCAGACGCACGCGCCGTCAGCGCAGAAGCCGTTGCCGTGGCAGTTGTTGGCGCAGGTGCGCCCGCCGCAGTCCTCCCCGGCGTAGCCCGCGTCGCAGCGGCAGGTGCCGTTCTGGCAGAGGCCGCGGCCGTGGCAGTCTTTGGGGCAGGGCAGGCTCGGAGCCGTCGGAGCCCGTCCAGGGTCGGTCGCACACGGCAGCTCCCCGTGGACGCAGCGGCCTCGCTTCCCAGCAGTTCCCGGACCACTCCCGGTCTGGTGCAGTTGGGTCCCTTCCAGCCCGGCTCGCAGACGCAGCCGCAGGTTTCAGCGCTGTAGTTTCCGTGACCGTGGCAGTAAGGTTTGGTTGCCACCTCACCTTTGAGAAGATAAGAAATAACCCAATTACATTTTTGTGTTGTATGTCAGTAATTATCTTTTCAAGAGCCCGCGCTTTCCACTGCAGCGAAACAAAAAAGGATTATTTTATGTGCCGAATACCAATTGAGACCTACCGGTGACTTGAGCCCCGCAGCAGGCGCCGCCGCCGCCACCGTGGCACTGATCTCTCAGCGCCGAAACCTCTCCCTCCAGCATCTCCAGGCGGCTCATGAGTTCCTTCAGGCCGGGCAGGTCCTCGCTGCAGCCACATGCCCGCCGGGGAACGTTGATGCGGTGGGTGAAGACGATCTGGTTCTCCCCGTCCACCGTGTGCTCGGCGGCGTGCTCGTCCGGAGGGACGCCCGCGTCCCGGGTTCGTAGCCTCGCGCTCTCCGGGGCGTCCAGGTCCACCGAGCACAGCGAGCTGGCGGGAACGTTGATGTTGTAGACGTGGCTGAAGACCACGGGGCGCTCGCCGCTCGGCAGCGTGACGTTGTGTTCTTCGGCGGGTTGCGGAGTCTGTCGCCGGTGCCGTAGGATTTTCTTCACGAGCCCGGCGTCCGATGAGCTGAGCAAAGCGGCGAGGAGGAAGCAGCTCAGAGCGCGTTGCGTACCCATGCTAATAGATATCGGTTTGAACCTCTGACCGAAGGAGAGAGTTCTGGAAAACAGAATGAAAGGATTTCATCACTCACGCATGCAACGATTTGTTAATTCATCAATAAATAATTAAAGAAACCAACGTCCTGAGTCGATGTGAGAAATCCTTCCCAAAACCAAAGCTAAACCAAAGCCAGCCGTTTAGCTACGAAGCCATCGTGTTTTCTTTTACCTCACGGTTGCAAAGGTTATACTGCAGTTTAACTCAACATCGCAGCAAATGACGTGTAACATTAACGGTGTTGGTTGGAACAAGAAGCAGAGGAGCTCTTCACACTCTGCAAACTGACTCCAGGCGTCTGAGGCCCACCCAAGTCTTTCCCTTCGTCTAATTATTATTTACAGTTTGTGCTACATTTCTAACTGACAACACCACAAGCCACCGTGGGTAAAGAGAAAAGCTGTTAAAACACAGGCATCCACAGCTGTGCTGGCACGTCCACGCTCCTTCATAGTGCACATACGTGTGGAGTCTCTGCCCGTGTATGAAGAGACTCGGCTGTTTAGCATGTGCACGGCATACAGGACGTATCGGACGGAGTGCATCCCGCCTCCAGCGCCCACCCCCCCCCGATGAGGTCATCAGGTGGGCATTAAGGACGCTGTAATTTGCGGGAGCCGGAGGAGAACTAATGACAACCTTCTTGCTCGGCGTGGGAAAGCCTGCCTGGAGTCTCCTGGCGGTCTGAGGACGCATGCTGAAAATCAATTGAACAGACTGAGTGAGTGGGTCTGTGCCGCGGGTCCACATGTCTGCCAAATGTCTATAAAGAGGGGGAGTTTCTGTTCTGTCAATGATGCAGGATTTCCTTTGGATCTTAGTAGCATCTGACATGCTCAAGTTCTGAGACGATGACGGGTCCAAAAATATACACACTAGCCTCTCCATTCTCAATAATAAGCCCCCCCTTCCACCTCTGACCCCCAAACCGGCGTTTGTGTTATTGACTTATAGCCGCGTCAAATAAACCCAACTTCACGTGCAAACCGTCACCGTGAGAATCTCTACCATCCATCCCCAACAACCCAACACCTTCTAGAATACCAGAATAGAAAAATAGATTAATGTGCAGATTGCAGCCTGTGTGAAATCCCCTTTAGTTCCAAAATATGAAGGAGCTCTTCACAGGCAGTGATGCATTTCTCTGTTTTTTGGGGGCGAAAAGCAGCAGAAACAGAAGCAGGAAGACAAATACTTTCCTTCGCTGTCACCACAGTGTCTAAAGCCCTTCCCTCTGCTTTCCTTCCCTGACCTTTGAGCCAACCTTTCCTTCTCCTCTCCAGCGGTTCTGCACCCCGACACCAAAGACCCAGATGTAAACCTGAGCTTGAGTTTCACGAGTCCTCGCACATCTGGCCAGTGGTGGGATAAAAGGTGAGCCGGGGCTGGTGTTGTAAATCAGGAAACCGTTTGTATGTTTCTGATCTTCTAAAGGAACCTTACAAGACACCAGGAGACATAATTTGCAGTCTAGGAGGTCAAAGGTGAATGCTATAAAAACTGCTCAGCACCTTTCCGCTGAAGATGGTCTTCAAAGCGGCTTTTGTTGAAGTATGATTTACTTGCAACGTTTCATATTGTCACCGTAATGTCTCCGGTAAACAGCCAGCTTAACATCTTTTGAAGTAGACTAGGGACAGAGGACGTCTCATGTGACTACGGAAAATGGGAAGACAAGAGAGATAAATTGAAATAAATATAAGCTGTTCTCTAAGCTATAATCCAGAATTGCTGTAGCTTTAAACCTCTTCCCGCATGCTGGCAGTCGGAGGGGAACTTTTCAGCGTGAAAAAGAGAAACTGGAAATGTTGGCTCCAGACTGAGGACATCTGCTCAGTCCAAGAAAAAATAATTCCTTCTTAGAAAACTGCACCGAGGTTCGTATTTGGTGTGCAGGTGAAAAGCGGAGGTGAGCCGCGCACGGACTCCGATCATCTCCGCCAGCTGAAGAAGAAGAAGCTGGCGCTTCTGGTGACGAGCACCCGGAGGGGGGGGGGGGGGAGACGTCGCCCGAAGCGTCCGCTCGTTTGTTCATCTGTGATATTTGAGCTTTTGTCTTACTGGTCTGGTGGTGACGGCACCTGGAGCAGCTACAAGGCTTCTTCTGAAGGAAAGTGAAGTAGTGCTGGGACGAGGACGGAAATGGCACCAGCTCACTGCGCTTTCAACAGATGAAGTGAGCGGTTCCTTTACGGTTAATAAACCGGAGCGTTATGCGAGTGAGCCGAGCGGGATGAAGACTTCACTTTCAATTAGCAATCACAGGGTCGCTCCTCCGTCGAGGACTAAAGTCATTAAAGATGTGGAAAAAGGAGACTGGTGTTCCTTTGGTACAGAAACAATATAAATGCAAAATTAAACAATTTCAATGGTGTTATTAAAGCCTCAAAACCAGCTGGTTCAGCTTTACAAATGTGATGATTTGCTTCTTTTCTTCATACAACTACTTTAATATGTCACCATTCGCACATTTTATTGACAAAACGATCAATTAAAAGTGACCTAAACAGACGTTAACGTGCGGCGACACTCGTCACAATGTGCTGAGTGAATCCTTTAGGTCCTTTTCTTCCTCGTCACATATTTGCAAGCCAGATTTTCTAAGTACTTTTAGTTGTTTACATCTGTGCTCACTAGCTTGTAGTCTTTTTTGGCACGTTGCCGCGTACTTCACCGTCTTACTACGGTTATCAATAGAGTGATGTAACACTAGAAGGGCCGCGCAGCGCGTTACCGCTCCAGACAGCTTCTACCGGCCTTAAACTCCACAGGGAACCTTCAATAGATTGTTTCATACATTTTCATTACATGAAAAACATTATGGAGTCACAGAATTAGTCAAATATATTTTATAGATCCACATGAAACTTGAGAAGAGGAACAGTCATGTATGATGGGGACAGTATCGGAATGTCTGATATCATTCAAAATATTTGCAATCCGATACTTAGAAAACAGCCAAACTGATCAACACGCCTGATTCTAGACGCAGACCTGTTACATCATCCTCCAACATACTTATCCAGGATATTCTGTGAATAAACCTCGTGGCTCAGCCGATTGCACCGGAGATGGCGAGCGGAGCGGCGGCGCCGAGGTCACGCGGAGGGAAACGGAGGTTTTTGTTTCAGGCAGAGACCGATCTCGCTCGGAGCGGCGTGAACGCGGCCGCGATGAGAAGCTGCTGATGGGACACGATGTGCACGGAGATACCAAGACGAGAGAGGAACTAAAGGATTATCGTCCTCCTCAGCCGAGAAACATCCGCAGGCTAAAACCACCGAGAGCCCGGCTTGGATCGCCATTAAGCAGAGCTAATGGACTGCGTGGATGCCGCGGGTTTTTCCCTCCTTGCGCACAGCGCCGGTTGCTGCCATCCACTTTTCCCTTCAATCGAATCTCAGTGATGGAAAAAAACGACACGCGATGAAAACAGAACTGCATTGCAGAAGGTTAGTTGAAGCTGCACATCTGCACCAGAGAACGCAGACACACAGTTTGCCCTCAATACACAGGCACAGTATATTATTATTGACCCAAAACAGCAATTTGAGAGAATATATTTGGCTGCCGATTAAAGCTTCCACAAGTTCTCCTCCCTCAGCAGTCCTGCGTTGTCTGCTCTGTGTGAGGAGTCAGTTGCAGTACACACTAAGAATGTACTTCCAATAAGCAATAATCAATGCCTCATGGTGTCTTCGTAACCTGCAAAACCCTCCTAAACAAAAAGGTATGCAACCACTACTGAACACACCTCAATTAGGAAGTCAAGAAAATGGACTTTTTGTCACACGAAAGCCCAAAGAGATTATATGCACACATCTGTACATCCGCCCACCTGTCAGCAGCACGCGCAGCTCGGATGAGGCGTCCTCAAGAGTCGCCGCACACTCGTTGAAGTCAAGAAAAATAGATGTGACCGCAGCTTCTCCAGCGAGGAGGCAGCTCCCGTCAGTCAGCCAGCTGCCCTTATCTTCCCCTCACGGCTCGGACGGGAGTTCGGCTCTTTTACTGAGAGAGAAAGAGAGCGAGAAAGAGAGAAAATGTCTTTTAAAGTGTGTGCGGTAGTTTAGGTCAGACCCCCATTTGCTTTAACTCCAACCCTTAAATAGCCATCACTCTCCCTCCCTCCGCTGCTCCTCTTCCCTCCCTCTGCTGGAACTAATCAGGGCCGCCGCCTCCAAATGAGACGCCGCTTGTTACTGCGAGTCGTGACGCAGCGAGCAGCGGTTGGGCAGGAACATTAAAAGAGGCAAGCCGGGGGAATGAGAGGAAAGTCTGAATGCAGACAGACGGACATTTTCCTTCAATGGCTTTGCAAAAAAAGTGAGATATTTCATTTGAGGAAATCCCTAGTGAAGACTACTCCTCGTTTCCACACTTTGCAGGAATCCCTCCCGTGTCTCTGCAGCGCTGTCACAGTGATGGATGCCTACAGCGGAAACCACATTTTACCATCCTAGTGCATGGAAGCAATGTTAATCCAATGAATCTGTGGCGCATTCTCCCATTGAAGAGTTCCAGGGATCGTCCAGCTGGTGAGTTAATAAAAAGTGAACAAAAAGAAAAACACATGTACATTCTACAAGCTGTAGGGGAGTATGTGGATTCAGTTACTTCACCCTGGATGTAAACCTGCAGGAATCCAAGGAGCTCAGTGTGTGAAACGGGCACCATACGGAGGCCCTTTACACACAGTTTACACTTAATACGATTAGGTGAGGATTTAATCTCCTGCGAGAGCTTAGGTGTACATGAATCCTTTTGATTGAGCAGAACAATTCAGATTAGGCAACGGATTCTATTTTTGTTGTTGAGTAACGCACCAATGTGTGTTCATTCAATTTCTACAATCTCAAAATGTATCGGCCTGCTTCTTCAATGCTTGTTTTGATCGGCCGAGTCCCAAACCCAAAGATAATTTGCTAGTTATCACATAAGAGGAAGATAAATGTGGAGAACTTAAATCTGACCTTAAACTTTGTAAATTTTGGTAAATAAACCACGGAAATAAGGTTGAAATGGGCCAAAAAAAAAATCCCATCAGAAAGGTTCTGAGCTTGTTTTTGAACGGACAAAGCAGAGGATCATCAAACCAAAACAATAAGTCCAGACTAATCCCAGCAAAGTAGATTTGTCACTTTTCATTGCAGGACGTTCGGGTCGACCCGAAAGAAAACAAGCGTCTTTGCTTCCTTTACTGCGAACCAAGAACTCCTGAAATCTGCCCCCATCCATTAGTCCACCGACTCTTCCATCCGAACCCTGCGGACCTCGTGTGTGGAACTGAGTGAACAGCTCCCACCGTGGCCCGCCCTTTAACATGCAGGACCTGCCATGCGTCCCCCCATCTTCTCCACCGCAACACAACGCAGGAGGCCGAAGGCCACAGGCCGCTGCTCACGGGCTCCACGTTGCCACAGCAACCGGAGACAAAATGTTCGACGCCTGCAGCAAAGCGTTGATGTTCGCCTTAGCGAGACGCCAACGCAGGAATCCTGAGCTACAGAAATGTATAAATCAAGCATCCACCAATTAAACTCAGGCACAACAAACACAAGTCCAACACCTTCGTGAGTAAATGTACCAACCGGACGTTTCTGGGGAGACTCGTCCTAATATTAGAATATTAGAATATTTTTCCATATTTTCAAAATGTTTTTATTGATCAAAACGTTTATTAACGGAAAAAAATAATCCATAAATAAAAAGAAAAATGTTTGAGGCATTTAATTTCTTTTCATGAAAGTCAGAAATCACTTTTTCTTGCGTTCATGTGCACTAAAATCAAATTTACTCTCCAAAGAATAAACACAACGTGGTAGTTTATACGGTAGAATTCTTTCCTTAGAAATTAGGGCCAATCCAACAGTTGCCTTCGTGCTCCTCGGTCCAGACGTCTGTAATCTCAACAGGATGAAAGTGGCATAAAGAAAGCAAAGTGTCTCCAGTCTGCACGGGGCTGTAATAAACGGCCGCAAAGGCTCATGGGTAGTTTGGGCCCAACCGTGCAGTTAAAACGAAACACTAGGTCAGTAAATTGTTTATTTTTTCTCATTTATGGGAAAAATATGCCAAAACATGCAATGTTTATGTAAATAGTCAATATGCAACAACGTGGAAAATATCAGTCATTTTTTCATGCAGAAGTGGATCGAAATATTTGCATTTAAAGTTACATGTTGAATTATAAAGTTCTATAATTACAGAGTGTTTGCTGTAAGTAGGAGTAAATTAACGCTTTGATCTTTTCTTAGTTAAAGAGCGAAGAGAAGAAGAATGGAGACATGAAGCTGAAATGTTTTAACTATAAATAGTTATTTTTGTTTAGTGGTAAAAGTCGGTTTCAGGTTTTTCTCAAACGAATCGATAATTGATAATGGAGAATTGCACATGAGATTTCCTTTAGTGAACTTCGGGGCTACATGAGCGGTTTAGATGAACCATCACTTCCGAATAATTTATGTGATTGTACTTCGGGGAACGTCTTGTATCAACATCTCGCTCCGTTCTCATTCGGATATTTTCACAGTTGTTGGAAATGTTCCTCCGGCTCGACGGTGGAGGTTCTGTCTCTGTGTTAAACATATTTAAATCTTTGTAAAGATGTTACAGATGTTTTGTACTGCAATTAATTAAACACTGCACTCCTTGACATACACATTCTATTAGAAGGGAGGCGAGTTACTGTAGACTAATTGAGTCTTTGTTAAATAATCAGTTTCCACATAAATGATGTTTGTGTTTGTTCAATGTTGTCACACAACTTGAAGACTACTCAGACCTAATCCTCCGTAAACAGTCGCGTTGCATCACGTCTCGTTCTCCAGACTTTTACATTGTGAGTTTTTTTTCCCCAGATTTATTATCAACAAAGCGTCGGTGACGCAGCGAGAAGCTACTTGTCTGATGACCTCATTACTCTTATTGACCTCGTAAAGGTCGTGAAACCCGATGCGCCCGGCAGACACTTGGTTCCGTGACCACAGCTGCTGGTCGAATGCTCGCCGGGTCACGTGATGAAACAACAACAACAACAACAACGACAGAAGGCTGTTGTTGCAAACACACTTTAGTTTATCAAACACTTTTGAACGAATGAAGGACATTGCTGCAGAGAGCGAGCGTCCCGCAGGCGTCTCCGGGACGCTGAGCAGACCTGCAGACGTCCCGGCTCACACAAACATGAACTAATATGGTCTCTGAAAGCGCACGGCGAGCCCCTCCCCCCAGGAGCGACCACGGACCCCCCCCTCCCCGCCCGTGCAGGGACGTCCGTCGGGCCGACTCGGCTCTAATGAGCTGGTGCGCTCCGCAGATTAGAGGATTCAGCGCACGCCGGCATTCGTGGGAGGATTATGGCGAATGATACCGGACGGGAGCCTTTTGTTGAGGAGGATTACAGGATTACACAAATACTTCATATCATAAACGCATTAGACGGGACGATGTTTGGCCACAAGCATCAAAACTACACAGGCCGCATTGGCTTCAGAGCAAGTATTGTTATATAGGAGAATATATTCACCTTTGCACTGGGATGCCATCAATTAACTAACGGTTTGAGCAAAAAGAATTTGTCCGTCTCAGCTGCTTAACGGAGGCATTAACCACGATTGAATTTACCGCTTTTTTACTGACATCGACTGTCCGTGTTTAATAAGTCAGGCAGAGGAACGAGATGATTACACCCACATTTATTGTTCGGATTCAACGCTTTTGTGGGAGAACGTGATGGAGAGGAAGGAATAAGTCAGCGGGGTTCACCCTCTGGAGACCAAGAACCTCAGAGCAATAGACCCAAAAGCGGTGGAGATATTTCAGTGGAGAACAAAGTGGTGGACGAACCAACGTCCCTCCCAATAAATGAGCATGTTATCTTAATTCATATCGTATCCTTAATTAAACACAAGCCCCGGCTTTGAAGCTACAAAGGAGACGCATGTCTGGAGTTGTAGTCCAACGCGATCCAATTTGCAGAGTTTAATGGTTTCATTGAGTTGGAAGAAGTTATGATTGTCAATTAAAAAACAGACAAAGGAATATAAAAGACATGAAATCGAGCGCATCCGAAGTCTTTTGTCGGCGCTTTACGCTCCAGTGAGTCCAGGATTGTAAAGGGAAGATGCTCCCTGACCACAATAATAAGAGCAGATAAAGAGTTTGGAACGAACCATTCATCTCTGTCTGCGCCACTCGATTATAAATGACCTCAAACCCCAAAACGAGCACGTAACTCCACAGCTCAGAGTCACAACGACGACGCTGCGGCGCTGGCGTCCGCTCAGACGCAGCCCAGTACCATGTGGACCGGTTGATGCCGCCGTCTGTCTGCGGTTTACAGAATCCTCCCCGACGGTGACATTCGGGCCGACGGCCGTCCTGCCGGGTGTCTGCTTGTGTTTGGGATATTTTCTATAAACAATAAAGCTTCTCGCTGATGAATAACAGCCCGGGCGGATTTCCAATATCCCCGGATTTATTTAGACTAAAGTGTTTTATTGCATTTTTTAATTGTGACACAGCGGTGCGACGGCCTTTGTGTGTCAGAAAGTTGCATAACCGTTTTAAATCCTTTTCATAGTACAAGTAATTATCTTTCCATCGATTTAAACGCCAACAAATGTGGATAGAAGCACAAAAGTGAGTGAGTGACAAAGGTGTTGAGCTTTTATAGGATTCTATACTTTGTTTTTTTCTTTTCAATAACTTTAAATAACATTCGTGGCAATGTTTGGATCCCAAAGCCCCTGCTGGTAGAATTTAATTCTATAAATAATAACTACTAATAAGTGCAGCGTGATCTTTTTCTGCAGGGTTACGGTTATTTTTTATAGCGCCTGACTGTAAACGCTGAAACTGGTCCCGGGCGTGTTCGTGCATCACCGCCGCCGCCTGCTGAGCTGCAGCCTTCTACCTGGTTTGCAGGCAATCCCCTTATTCCATCCACCCCCCCATCCCCTCTCCTCCCTCTCTCCCCCCTCTCACTGTGGGCCATGGCTGGCCTTCAGAGGCTCCCCGGTCTGGCCCTAGTTAGCAGCTACTCAGAGCCTCCATGCACACAGCTGCAGGAACTCTGCGGTCTCGGGCCGGACGAGGACAAGTGGAAAATGTGTGGGAGCACGAAGCGACGTAGTTTTAGAAACTAATAATAAAAACCTCTGGAAATGTTAAAAACGTGTGACTAAACCCCGGTACTACTTCAATACTAAACCCCATATTGAATCTCTTTATCTCATTATTGATCTAAAGCTGGACTGAGGAACCACAGCGTGTCAGACTTTATTAGAAGTTCTATCTTATATAAAGCTTTGGGTTTTTTAATCTGACCCGTTAAAAGTTACAGTATTAAAAAGACGCTTTGTAGCCCCGTAAAAAGAATTGGTTTGTATCTGAGATTCGACCCGTTGACTTGATCCCTGAACAAAAAGCAAAAAAGTAGGAGCCGTGTTGCCGATCGTGAGCACGCATCCGAGGGGAAGCTAACATATTTTGCTCGTGATTCTATTTGTATAAAACGTGGTAGGAAACGATAACGAATGCACACAAGGCCCAACCAAATATTTACCACATGAGGTCATGTTATTTACAGGACTGTTTCGGACCAATTTGGAAAACGGGGTGAAAAGAAAATTAGGTGCGTTTCCATGGCAACCCCATCCAAAGGTTCGTCCCTCTAGTGAGGCTCGGTCCTCGTATTTTCTACAAAGAATGTTTGTGAGCTCCACAAAAAAGGCAAAAGCACAAGTTATTAACAATAATTCAATATTTCTAAGTAATTCTTAATGTGGAAACTAGACAAAATACCTAAATACTTGCTAATTAGCGATCCTTGCTTACTAACGGACGCATTTAATTCCATTCAAAAGCAACCCTGGGTGATGATGACCAAGAACGTGTGGAAAGGTCGTGACGGACAGATGAGCGGCTCGTTGACTGCGAGATGGAACGGTGCTCCCTGCTCTACACCAGTTGGAACATCAGCGTCTTGGCTACAACCTCCACTAATCCGTCTGAAAACGCTCCAAACAACTCCAACAAGTTAGCAAATGTGTTATGCAAATCAGTCCAGATAATTAGCATAAGATGTCTGTTTGTTAAATCTTTTTTTTTGGTTACGCGAGCATCGCGTCTCTTGAAGAGCGGATTCATGCACAAAACAAGCGGCGGCCAGACGCCTCCGATCCTTCCCGTCGCCAGACGTTGAGAGGAATCGGGAGAGGAATCCACGGAGCTCAAGCAGCTGCTTCGTGATCCAAACAAGAGGAGAGGACGCGCTCATCGGGCTACCGGGAACATTAGTTCAAGTCAAACTACTGGATAAACATGTCCAAACACCACAGTGCCAAGGGTCCATTCATCGGAATCATTGCTGGAAATCAAATGGAATGTAATCAAAACTCCAAAACCCAGCAAATATCAAACTGCCGTCATTTAGAAGGATGGAATAAACATTTCTTATTTCACTTTGGAGTGATCCGTGTTCACTCTTCCCCTCCACGCCGGCCTTCTATCAAGCTGTTCCAGAGTATTAGACGTACAAAACCTGCTGTTATGAAGCCGCTCACATGGCTGAATTTCTGCTTTTCTTTTTCAATATCACTTCTAAAGTAAATATTTGGGTTTCAGACGTAGTACAAAATATTAAAATGTATATAATGCCCCTCAGAACTTGTTAAATACACTTTGATCAAAGCAGACTGTGGCGAGCCGCTGAGGCTGCAGCGTGATGGATGGAGTCATTTCACAGGTGATGGAGGCTGTATTGATGTACTATTTCTGCAACAATTACTAACCGGCAGTGATAAAAAGGTAATGCAGGATAACTGCTGCCGTCATTAAATACAGATGAAGCTGGTGGGAATGTCAATTATTTTTGCAGGTATTTTGCCTTCAACCAAAGTATTTGAAAAAAATCATTTTTTGACCCCGATGGAAGAACAGTTGATGTTGGCATTAACTACCAGAAGGAATCTACATCCTCGTGCTTCCTGCGTTGCATTTAGCGTCCGCTTGCGTTTGTTGAACTGCCCTCCCTCTGCAGGAGAAGGTGAGCGCAGTCTCTAAAACCATGGTGAGGGAGACACAAACATCGCAAACAGTGAGAGTGATGGGGGGGGGCTGTGTTAAACCAGATGTGCCAACACATCAGCCAACTGCTGTTTCCTCTAAACAGCAGAGTTAAATTACAGCTGTGGGCTTCTGAAGCAACTTTCCTTAATAGCGACGACAAAGTAAAATACGTTTTGTTTTCAATATCCCACTAAATCTTTAATAAACAGATATTTTAAATAATTACTGGTATTGGATAACATTGGGTTTCTTCTTTCCAGTCTTTGTTTCACAACTTGGTAATTTACTTACATTATTAAAAATTTGTGTATGTACTTTAAAACGTTGCTAAAGAACTGCTTTGAATGGAGCACTCAAAAATAAATACATTGCATTTCCAACCTCCAACCCAAGACAAATTGTGGTGAATGTCAACATATACAGGCTAAAAAGAAGGAATATGCAGAATACATTATAATTTATTAATCAATATATAGCACTTGAGTAAATGTACCGATATGTACTAGATATAAATATATACATACATGCATACATTATTTAATAATTTGTAAATACTCACCAAATGCATTCGCTCAGATCAATGACATGAACTGTGCCTATGATTGTGAATAAATAATGTCATTTGCACTAAAAGTCTTAACACTCACATAAAAAGACGTTTTGTCCACCGGTTCAAGTGGAGCGAACGAAATCAAGTCCTCGAGAAGCGTCCTCCTGCACGCAGGTTACCGTTACATCCCGGAGCATCACCGCACGCCATCCAGCGCCACCGCGTCCCAGTGCCCACCGATACTGAACACTAAAACAATTGGTGTCATGCAAAGCGCCGTTAAATGTGTGGCGTTCGTTGGCCGATACGTGCGCGGGTCATTTGCCTTCCCCGCAGGGAAAAATACAAAAGGAGCCAAAATCAATACCGGTAATAAGCCATCAAGCGAACAAAAGAGGTCAGTGCTTCCAGACGGAGACGAATTAGAGCTGGCGTGCTCCACTGCGCGCAGCGGCTCGCCGCCGCCTCCGTCCGGCACCGGGAGGGAAGTTTTACTACACGTCTTCTTTTATCGGACGTCTCCGTGAGCCGACCGACGCTCTGAAGAGACGCCACTATAAAATTAACGTCAAAGACATCGCGTGATCACGGTCAGCGGGCGAGCGCTACAGCTGACACCTCCGACTTCCTTGAGGACGAGACGAGGGAATTCTTGGAAAGTCGACCTTTGGCCCCTCAGATTTGTGTTTCTGGTTCGAAGAGTCAAAAACAACAACAACAACACAGCGTCTGAGATCCTCGGCTTGTTTGCCAGTTATGAAACTACCGGGACCCACAGTGAGAATCCTCCTCTCCTGTGCAATGATGCGTGTTACTCCACCTCGGGGGTCATTTGGAGTAAATCTTGTGTCACCGGTTCCTCTGTGAGGGTGTAAAGTGTTACCTCAGGAGTACCCGCAGTAGACTCAATCTCCCAAAAGGGGAGAGATTTAACTGCTTTTCCCTGTGCATGAGTCACAACGCCCACTACAGACGTCAATGACTCCTCCATCACCGCAGCGAATACCACGGAGGCCTAGAACGATCAGAGTCATCTGCTAATCAGCACTAATTGCAGATGTTTATCGAGGCTCAGACAAAGAGCTGACAAACGCTTTTCTCTGCTTAGCACCTTCGTAAATTAAAGTCATTTGATTGTAAATTGGACAAAAGGAAAAACGCTAATTTGAAATCGTGACCCACATTTACAATAAGACAATCCGTACCAGTGCTGACAGGAGTTCTTACTCTTACAACAATAAATCTGCACGCTTTGGAAGAGATTAACGAACTGTACCAGATGACGCGGAGCCGTTTGCGATGGCCGTCAGTTTATTCTAATCCCACGTGCACAATTCATTGGCATCGCATTGCAGACGTGTACTTTGGCACTGAAATCAAACGCCTGTGATTTATAACGTGGGACCGGACAGAGACAACAGAGTAGACGAAGACAGACGGGTCAGCAGACTTTTAAGGAAGGTTGATGAGATTACATCATCGCTGCAGGACGACAGTGAGCCAATTCTGATGGATTACCACAGTTACTCCTGGTGTTTTATAGATCAGCTATAAGCCATATCCAAGGACACAAATAAAACAAACCCGATCCGAGAAGCTTTTCTTGCTCCAGAGGCAGACGGCTACTGAGAGATAATGTGACTGATTAAGTAACATGTGAGTTACAATAAAATAAACTCCCCGTGAGCTTTAAAAGAACTGCTGATGTGAAGGTCATGATCTATTCGCAGGTTGTTCCTCTTAAACAGTTCAAAATAATCATCAGCTGAGTTTTTTCCGTATGTTTTGCAACACCTTTAAAAGAAGGGGGGTTTTCCCAAATGGAGTTTGGTTTATTTGATATAGCTGCTAGTTCTGGAAAACAAAAAGGATTTGACTTTTTAAGCAAATGAGTAGCAGATGGGGGCGGGGCTTAGCCGAGCCTAAATTAAACCACACTGGTAATTTAGCTGTGATGACCAACAGCATTTACTTGGCATTTGGGTCTCTACTAATATTTACTTTGATTAATAATATTACAACATCTCAGTTTTCATTTAGAAAAAAGTGGCACAATACAAATGCGATCTAAAGCTTTTATACTTTTTACTTTTTAGATTTGATGGTCTAAAGAAAGATTATCTGAACATCTTGGACTGGTGAAGGGACCCATGTGTGGAGTCTTCAGACAAGATTACCTCTCCTACAGAGGCCTCCTGTCGGGCCACACAGAGGTTCACGAGGTGCAGAGCTCCACAGAGGCGTGACTGTGTCCTGCCTTTTTAATTACGTATTGACAAGACCCCGGGGAGTGACCTCATTTCAATGCTAACCAGTGTTCAGTCGGCCGATGTGGGGCAATAAGCTAGAACGTGATACAAACACACATATATATATAAACCGTCATCAGAGCGCTCTTGATGATCTGTGATTGTATTATAAGCAGCCCACTCGTCAAAATATAATTCCTTCAAGTATTGAAAGTTAAAGCATAATTGGATTAATGTGGCCTTCTAACCTTTGAGAAGAGTGTCCATGTGCATCGACTCCGCCACTGAGGGTCAATCGGCCCCCAACAGAACATAAAGCAAGTCCGTTTAAAGGGATTAAACCCGGCCTGCATCCCCGTGTTTGAAAAACCCAAAGCGAGCGCGTCCCTGAGCGCGTTCTTGGCACCTGCCGAGGATGAAGCCACCCACACTTTGGTAGTGTGGGACGCTGTTGTTCGTGGCTTGACTCTCACGCGAATGATCCCTCATTTTCACACATACGCAAATAGCAGCCCGGGCGTTTTTTCTTTGCCTGGATTCATGCCACTAAACACCAGCCGCGGATCCCCCACCTGAAGCTCATCCAGAAGACGGAAATGGAAAATCCAGGCGGAACGGTTACACTGTGAACTCCCAACATATCACCATTTGACTTGGTTTTGTGTTTGTTGACTCAGCTGCTGTAGTTGCTGGGCCTCCACAGACACGTAGATGTGCAGTGGGGTCTGCAGTAACCCGACTGCGAGGCGGTTTCTCAGGGCTTCCTGGCAGCTACAGGCTGTCCCGTGATTTAAAGACGAGGTCTTGGAGTAGGACGTTCGAAAGTATGACGACTAAATAAACAGAGGAACTGCAGGTGTTCCTTCTAATCCGCTTTGACTAACCGCCAACAAACCGTCGAGACCAGGCATGCCATCACCATCGCCGCTATGAAGATACATCTCGATCTCGAAAGGGGGGGGATACATCAGCCATGACAGCACAAGTAAATGTTTAGAATACAGAGGACAGTTAATACTGTCAACAAGGGCAGTGGAGTCTTATTTCAAAAGTGCATGCAATTGTGAGAAAAAACAAGACTGAAGCGTCTACAACCATGCTACCAAGAGGCATGCTAACGTGCTAACAAGAGGCGTGCTACCAAGAGGCATGCTAACGTGCTAACAAGAGGCATGCTGATGTGCTAACAAGAGGCATGCTGACATGCTGGTGCGTTTCAGCTTTAATGTTCAGCGTCGTAGTTTCCCCGTGTTAGCATACAGCGGTTGGCAGCAGAGAGGATGCAGCTTTAAAGGTACGTTCCATTGCAACAGAAAATTGGCAAACGTCCCCCCCTGCTGCCGCCTCTGGATAAAATGTGATGACAAAGAGTATTCGGATTCATCCCGTGGGCACCATGAATATAAAAAGGCAGACGAAAACTCAACACGTCATCCACCATCCTCCCCTAAAATAGCTCGACTGCGCTCCTTCCTGCACAGCACCTCACTTTAAATGAATGCGCCTCATTAACTTTAACGTCAGTCTCCAGCCACAATCTTTCAAACAGCCACATATCTGAGGAGTGAGACGAGCCGCTCGCATCGTGTATTCAACACGGTGACATCATCAGACCTCAGCTGTTAGTATGACCGAGTAGAGCGTTGCCTGCTTGACCTGAATCACTAAGAAGATCATAAAACTGAGCAGTTTATCAGGGGAAACAACTAATTCTGGCAAGCGAAGACTGAAAGTATTGTTGAGGATACCCTGTGTGCACTAAACAAACAGACGGACGCTGAGATGTAAAATGGCTTGTAAATGTTTAATGAGGAATGGAAATGGGTTTCATGAAGCACCGTTTTGGTGGGAAACTACTTTTCAGTTCCTATTCAATATAAGAAGGAATTGTAAATGAGGTGTATTAAAAAAGTAATGTTTCTCCAAACATTTTGGGGTATTTCTGGAGATCATAGTGCATGGTTAGCATATTCTCAGTGTGACCTGACCGGAAACAGAAGGACAAGTGTAGATTTTCAGCCAGAAGTTCAGTGATCTCCTCGTACAGAGGAGGAATTTTAGGTGCTAAAACTACATTTTACAAAATATTTCCACCTTATGCATCAATGCAGGTGCAACTCATACCGTAATACAAGAAACAAAAGCCAGCAATGGACGCACAATTTATCTAAAAATAACACTGACGGAACGGCCCGATCCAAACAACAGTCAACATCCTCCCGACAGAAAGGACCACAGTGGAAAACATCTGTGTAGATTCAACTGTGTGTTTATCCCCTGCTCCGCCGTGACGGCCTGTTTTAAGAGGAGCTCTACAAGAAAACAAGAACAGGGAGACACAAAAAAGAAGAAACCTTTAGGAGAACGGAGGAGGGATCGCTCTACGAGGATGGACAGAAGTGAAATAGATGTGTAGAGAATGAAGAACATAACAGAGCTTCCGGAGAGAAGCCTTTGTATCTCAACTTGCATTCTCTGTAGCGACCAGCAGGGGGCGACTCCTTTTGTCCCATGAGAGTCTATGAGAAAATGACTACTTCGCTCAAACAGACCATGACGCGGTGGATGCTTTAGGGCGGGGCTTACTTTGATTGACAGGTGTATAGAACTACTGTATGCAGCTTCTCCACATCACTCCGAAAGTAACAAATTGATCTACAATTATATAACGTTAAATACTTGATCATCTCAAATTAACTTAATTTGGCCGGGCTCCATTAAAATAATAAATGGACACCCACAAAAAAAAGTACTTATCTTGATGAAGTGACGCAGTTGAGCTCCAGGTGTCCGCTTCAACATGGTGTCCGGTAGCAGCGATGCTACTAGCTAGCTCATGCTAACGACCAACGGGCGGAGGGAAAATACGGGAGCCGGCGGCGCGCAGACGCGGTTATTCCGTCTTCATAACGGTCCTTCAAAGGTGTCTGAGGCGTTTGCTCTCGAGTTTAACTGTTTTATGAAACATGTATTCGAGGGAGCGGAAGCTGCGCGTCTCCTCCGGTGACACAACGCGCGGCAACAGGTGAGGCTTCAATTAGCCGCGCCGCGGAGAAGGGAGCGCTCGATTTTGAGAGGCGGAACGTGGAGTTCGGAGTCACGTGGGGGATACGCTAGCACCGCACTGACGTTTTTCTTTTTTGTAAAAATTTTTGTAAAATAATAATAATGTAATATATATATATTACATATATATATATGTAATATATAATATATATGTATATATATAATATATATATATATATATATAACATATATATATATATATATATAACATATATATATATATATATGAATATATATCTCTAATAATGAGAATAAACGCTAAATAAATTTAAATTTAAATACAATATTCTGTTGTATTATATAAGATCATCACATGCTTTCTGAAGCAGTTAAATAAATGAATGTTGACAGTTACAACTTACAACACTTACTATCTTTCCCACACATGGCATTTTTATGTTTTCTTTGAGTCAGCGTGTCTTTTAACCACCACCTTGTAATTATTTTTAACATATCTGCAGATCTTATCATGAATACAATCTTTAAAAGTTGTCCAAATTTTGTTGTCAAAAACAAAGAGGTCATGGGAAAAGGTTTCTCACTCTAATCTGAAAACATAGTGTTGTTCTGGGGCCCAAACTGCCCACTTTATCCCACTTTATCATTCCAGTAAATCAAAGGGCTTTTATTTTTTTAAATTGCAGATTAGTCTAAATGACTCTGGACAGAGTAACTGCACTCAGATGCTGTTCATTTGGTGCCTTCCTGTGGGCACAGATGGGAAGTAACTGTGTACGACTTCGAGGTACTTGAGCTTTAGTTGATCCAATATTTCACCAAAGCAGCCGAGGATTAAAGATACACAAAAATAAATACCCATTTGTGTGACAGAAATGTTTTTTCCATTGTGCTGACGAGGGTCCAAGTACATTCAGCTGATAATACTTATAAATATTTAAATCAAGCTTTCTACAGCGAAAATACATTGAAATTACTCAACAAGCTGAAACCAGCAAACTTTATTACATACTGCATGTCCTCTTTAAACCATAACACATCAATATTATCAACGCCAGAATATATATATGTATATATGGCATTGATTTCAAGGTACATAAATCATAATGAAATACCCTGTTTGTACAAACAACCGATACAAAGTGCACAAATAAAGTTGTTTCAAGTCGACTGCGTCACATTTACAGAACTGCTGTTTTGCGTTTAGAAAATAAAATAAATCTATGAAAGCTTACATTCAAAAACCTCATGGGGCGGTAATTGTTTTTTCAGAGAGGCGGTGACCCATGCATCTTATTAAAACGTAACACATATTTAAATATAAATATATTTGGCACCATATTTTAGCATAGAACATGAATATGACTTTTGAACGCAGTATAGTTAGTACACAGAGGTAATATTTGATTTTGGCACGATACAAGACCACTTTAAAAAATCACCCTAGTTATTACATGCTGTAACCATCATCACTGAAAAGTAGATTTTCGCTAAGAATAGAAACCACGCTTATAGCGCGAGTTCCTCACCATCAAAAACGTCTCTCTAAAACCTCACTTTTACCTCATGAATAAAAACTATGCTCAAAGCCGAGGGAATTTCTTTCCTTTGAAAAGTTCGGAATCGGAAGCAGTTCTTCGGCGCCGCGACGAGTGATGTGAACAAACAAGTCGAGTGCGACTTCTGTAAACTCTTAAAGCTGCCACGCTGTCGTCAAATCATAGCCGGCGTGATCATATAAATATAAATATTGCACTCAGAAAAGCAGAAAAAGTCCTTACTGCACAAAGGGGTGGTGGGGGGTGGGGGGTCCTGGCCTGTTCGAACCATCTTGACAAACAAAAGGCTGGTATATAGATATAGAATTAATAAGGTATTCAGTAATACTATGTTTATTATAACATCTCGCGTATATTAACATCGATATATAGACTATTTCAACATTATGATATGAAAGATACATATTTATAAATTGCTATGAATATAGGCGGCTGCTGCTGTTGAACAGACGCAGCGCCAGATATAACATAATAACTATTCTATGGTTATTTTGGTCCGAGCAAATCCCAAATAAACGCTTTGACACGTGGCCCCGTGGGTGGGGGGGAGCGGGGGAGGGGGGGTGGGTGGGGTCACCCGGCCAAACTCCATAGTGAACGATGGACTGAAGCCTCCCATGCACAGAGAGGTTTCAATACAGGCCGAGACGGTCTCCAAACAGGCCAGCGGGGAACCTTAAAGGACCTCAGCATGCATGCTAAGTGAGCACAGCAATCTCTGGTGGACACGCGGAAGAGTTACACGTTGTGATGTGGATGCATGTGCAGGGAGAACACGCTGAAGAGTTAACTGGGGGGGGGGGGGGGGGCTGAACCTTACTTCCATCTGCAGTAAACTACGTCAATCAATTGTGACGTAGTGTCACCATCACCTCAAACTAACGCACACACACGCACATCTAGATCCAATCTGAAGAGCAGCAGAAACACACACACACACACTCGTGTGGAACAGAAAAGCGTGACCGCGGCGTTCCCGTGTGGACCTCGTGTCTGTGGTGGGGGCACAGTACTATGTGTTGAGATGCGAGCTGGAGAGCGCGTCCCGCCAAGTGGGACCAAACTCCAGCCATGTGATGTTTTTTTGCAAGAGTTTTAATGCCTCGCGTTTGACCGGCAAGCTGCCCTGACTCCTTGGTAACTCCACTGTATCTTCCACAGATGTACCAAACCACCAATCAGAACCACCAGAAGCAGTTTTAAAAAAAGCCCTGACAGGAACAAATACGCGACACTGACGTTACATGTTAAAAAGTAGCCTGGCTCCAAAGGCGTGCAGGCAATGTCCACCATCACGGATGGCTAATTCACTTCAACAGGTTCAACAGCAGACGGGGAAGCTTTCGTAAAGCTCGGTCGGAAATGAGGAGCCATTTTATACTTAAAACGCCAGCGGCATGCCCAAAGAAATCAAATGAAAAGGGCAAAGAAATGCCTGAAATCTTATTCATAACATAACTCCACGTTTGTCTATGCAAATTCACTCAACACTGGAATTGAGAAGCTCACAATATCCACAATCTGCAAGGAAAACAAAGGCTGCAGGGACGCTCTAACTCTACTATAAGTCATCAGAATGATCACATCAAACATCTGTAATCTACAACCCGGTTCTCGCAATCATCCCTTCAAAAGTAGGGGATTCAAAGGAGATGCTGACTCGCTCTTTTTCGTCAACTTTGACCTCTCTCACCTCGCTGCGCCGGTGCTCCTTTTTTAATCCTTTTAAGAAAAAGTAACGGATGAAACGTACTGTGCGCAACTGAAGCAGAACTTTGTGACGCCTTTAGGAAGAAAAGGAGAAGAGGCAAAAGGGCTCTTCGCAACCCCGGAATGCACGGCCACGCGCGGCGGTTCTCGCAGAGGTACGACGATGGCGGCGACGGCGGCCGGACGCAGCGGCCGGCGGCCACACTGCGGCGGGCCCTTAAAGGACCACGATTGAGCCCAATGAAGCTTGATATTGGGGAGAAGAAGGAGGGTGAAGTGGGTGGGAGGGAGGGGGGCGTGGCGGTCGTCTAGAGGCCCGTGAGGTCCACGATGGCCTTGATGAAGATGGTGTCGTCGCGGATGTACGAGTTCTTGGCGTCCAGCTTGGAGAGCGGGCAGAAGAGCGGGCAGCCGCTGGCGATGTTCATCTCGCTCACCGGCCGCTGGAAGGAGGAGGAGGTGACGTCGGGCCGGAAGGCGTCGATGATGTGCTCCCGGTTGCTCTGGTCCAGCAGCATCAGGGTCACCTGAGGGGGGGGGAGGGGACACAGACCCCCGATGGGGAGGCGGCGTTGGAACGGCGACCACCACGTTTGTCGCCTCCGCGCCCCTGAATCTACGACGGGACTGAACGTACCTTCTGGTTGAAAGGCCACTTGAGCAGCGCGTCGCTGAGCCCCCTCATCACCACAAAGAACAGGGACAAGTGGCTGCCGCGCCCCGTCCCGTCTCCGTTCAGGTAGATGCGCAGACACATCTTATAGCCGTACTTACTGGTGTAGAAGGCTGGAGGGGAAGCAGGGGAAGCTTTATTAATAATAATAATAATAATAATTTTAGTTTTTCTATGACTTCCTAACTGTGTCAAAGGACCACGTCACCTGGCGAAAACATGGCGGGGGCTCGACCCGCGATCGCATCCTGCCTCTTTTTGGCGAAATCCGAGATCCGCCAGACGAAGACGCCGTCGAAGGTGGTGGCGGACATCTCCCTCAGGCGGCCCTCCATCTCCGCCACCGTCAGGTCCTTCAGCCCCACCGTCCTCTCCAGCTGTCGCACCTGCACAACCGGCGCACACTGTGCTCTCAACTCAACTCGTCAAATACACAGTCAACATCTGCCACATGCGACTGATTACTTCAAATAATAACAGAACTTCCTCTTATATATATATATTTTTTTCCCCCTAGGATTGTGTTTATGGCCGTTTCTCCGTGATCTGTGTGTCAGCTGCAGCCCCGACCTTGTTGCTCAGCGCCTCGATCTTGTCCTGGTCCAGTTTGTGCTGCCGGTTGCTGGCCTCCATGGCGGTGGCGAACCTCTCCACCTCTCTGTTCAGCACACACACCACGTTCTCGAAGGTGCCGGCTTTGACCTCCAGCTCCGTGCACCTGCGACCCAGCTCCGCCACTTTGGTCTTCTCGCTGTGCAGCTGCAGCTCCAGCGCCGCGCCCACCGAGCTGGGCAGAGGCGTGAAGGAGGTGGACACGGACAGGGCGGGGGCCAGAGCGGGCGGCGGCGGGAGCGGGGCGGAGGCCGGCGGGCCGGCGGGGCCGGAGCTGGAGGATGAGGATGAGGAGGCGGCGGCGGCTCCCTGCACGGGAGGCCCAGAGGAGGTGGTGCTGAGCTGGGAGACTCTGGCCTCCAGCTCCCGCAGGGCCTGTTGGAGCTCCAGCAGCTTGTGGCCGGCGAGTTCCAGTCCCTGCGGCTGCAGGCCCTCCATGCTCACCTTCATGCCCATGATGTAGTGCAGCAGCAGGTTGAGGTGCTCGTAGGCGAAGGCGCGCTCGTGGTCGTGGATCTTTTCCTTCTCCACCTACGGGGAAGGAGCGAGACGGGCGGTCAATGAAACGGAAACTAAATGCTTAAGTGTGAAAGTTATTGGGCGGTAAAAGAAAATGTAAATATTCTGAAAGACTTTTGAAGAAGAGGACACTCGGGCCACTCACAGACATATCACATCCCACGACGTGGAATCGACACGGAGTTCTGAATTTGCTGCAGAACTTAATATGGTCCACATACTGAAAAATACAACAATCGTTATTTGCAAAAACATTGACAGACATGTGAAGATTCTCTGTAAGGATGGCAAAATATTCCCCACAAAAATACCCACCAAAGTGGATTTCTATTATAAACTTGTTTCATATTTTCATACAAAAATACCACATTTATAACAAGCAGCGAAACGTGTTGAAATCTTTTGTAATCTCTCCACCTGGACAGAATATCCCTACATGCACACTGAGGCAGTAAATAGCCTGGGGTGGTCTCGTCTACACACTCACCTTTTCTCTGGGTATTTTCTTCTTGGCGCAGCCTTCACAGATCATCGGGTACTTGGGGCAGATCTCATCGTGGGCCTGGAGTTTAAAGTATAAAAAAAAAAACAGCAGTGTTGCTTTTTAAGACGGGCGGAGACGAGCCTCAGCGGCTCAGGCCGCGCCGACTTTAAATAAACCATCGCCGACCTTGATGTTTTTGAAGTGGAACGGCTCCTTGCAGTACTTGCAGTTGAGCGTTCTCTCCGGGCACTCGCGCTCGTTGTGGCGCTCCTGTTCGTTGAAGCGGATTCGCTCTTTGCAGGAAGGGCACGGGATGATCATGAACTCACACTTCCCCTCGTGGGTCAGCTGGGGAGGAAATGAATGAACAAAAAGCTTCAAAAAGCACCGAGAAGGACAAAGCAAAGACAAATGCTATGGAGAACAACGCTCACCTCGTAGTCTTTAATGCTGCCCTTCCACGAGCAATGTTCATGGATGCAAACGGCCGAAAGGTTTTCCACTTCCCGGCGCACGGCGTTGTCAGGAAAAGCCTGAAAAAACAAGCCAAAACAAAAGGTTACGGCTTATTTTTTTTCTGCTCCTGGTCGGAGATGTCGGCTTGGAGCGAGACGGACGGGTTCATTCTCCGTATTCACAAACAAAGTTGCTTCTCAACTGGATCAAAATGTATTTATACTCACACATCCTGGTTTCAGAATGGATGTAGGATCCTCAAAGAGATCCTCTTTGATGCAGGCGCTGCATTTCTGAGGTCCATTGCTGCAATAATAAAATAAATGAGCAATTACACAGTGATTCAGAGGAACATTCAATAGTTTTTACTCCACTACATGTTGTAGTTATTCAAATTCACACTAAATGTATTTAGCTCATAAGTTGTTTTACTATTATTTTTAATATTACTACTTTCCCCTCAAGTAAATAATCAGGGTACTTTTAGTAACTGCTGATACTCGCAAAAATACAACTACATATTAAACATCCTTACTTTGTTGTCATTGAGTGTATTTTCCATACTTTTATGAGAATAAAAGTGTAAATACGCACTGTGATATTACTACTTTTACTGCAGATACCCCCTAAAACCACATAACCCCTCTGAAATGCCCCCCCTGGCCTCCCCTCACCTCACGGTCCTGTTGAAGCAGTACGAGCAGAAGCGATGGCCGCACTGTGCCTGGAACGGCCTCCTGAGGATGTTGTGGCAGCAGTTGCACAGGTGTTTGTCCTCCAGCTGGTTGCCCAGGATCTTCTTGGGGAAGCCGGGCTTGTTGCTCTCCATGGAGGAGGGGGGGGACGGCTCCTGCGTGGCCATGGTGTCTTGTTTCACACGTCACACCTGGAGGGACACGGAGAGGACTTCATCTCGATGCAACAGTCGAGAGGAAATGAGTATTTCCTGTCTGTTTCATTTTTTAGCACTGACAGCTTTTTAAAAAACGGCAGCTTCTGAAAGCCGATCCTGCCTTAATAACCCCCCCTGCCCCTGCCCCTCCCTCACTGCTTCCTTCCTCCCTCCTCCTCATCACAGGCCAGCTGGAAGGCCCACACCTTTTGTTTACATTTCGGGTATGCATCCTGCCTCCTTCCTGGGGCCCGACCCCCCCCCCCTCCTGCCCCCCACAAAAAAGCACGCCGCCGCTCGCCTCTCGTCCCAACAAATAGTCCGCCCAGCCTGCCCAGCAACGAGGCCGCCCGACACATCCGCCGTCGCTCCTCCGCGCTCCTCTTCCCTCCCCTCCTTGTTGCTAAGCTATCAGCATCCTTCTGGTCAGAAGTGGTACCCAGCGCGCCGCCACGCCCCTTTCAAATCCCGACGCCCCGGCAGGCAGGAAGCGAGGAAATTAAACATGAAAAAAAGGCTTATGTTGAAATCGCAAGTTTGCACTTACCAGCGTTTTATTTTGGGTTGTTGTTTTTTTTCCAGTCTAAGCTGTCATCGCGCGCAGAGGCGGCGGGTCGCAGGTAGTCGCTCGCGCACCTTGCCGATGTCACCTGTGGTCTCGCGGCCCGGCTGGAAGGTGTCCTCCTCAGCCCGAGCCACATAATACAGACGCGCTGCCCCGGACGCGACGGCTGTTATTGTCCAATATCGCCATTGCACTCCCAGGCTGGCCGATGACGTCACGCGGAGGGCCGCGCGTGCCATTGGTTGAAAACCCCAAAGAGTGGGCGGGCTCTCTTTGACGTGAAATAAACATCCAGATAACGCTCCCTCTTTTCTCCCTCTTCCAAATGAATGTTCCTGATTTAATGAAACTATTCAGCTTTTGCCTGCAGCCCTCCGCAAATGTTAATTGATATGCATTTATTCATGTGTGTGTTGGTGTAATTTATATTAAATATAAATATATTTATATTAAATATAGACACACGCATTTATTCATGTGTTGTTACATATTTGAAATATTTTTTTTATATATATAAAAGTGTGTGCATATATATATATATATATATATATATATTGTGTGTGCTTTTATATATAAGTGTGTGCCTATATTTATATATAATAAATGGATCAAATAATATATATATATAAATATAGGCACACACTTTTATGTATGAGTCACAGACACATAAATAAATGTGTGTGTGCATTAACATTCATTAGTGTGCGTTCAAACTCCCACATTCACTCTGACAGAAAGTGTATCACAGACGTTTATTGAAACCAGTTAAAGGCGGTTTGTGATCTAGATGTAAACAAAGCACAATCCTTTTCTTCTCCTTGCTCCTGAAATGATTGAGAGGTCTGTTGCTACACACTCGACAAAAAAAAGTTTCTGTTGAAAAGCACAGGACGATGCATTTTAAACTATCAGCTACTGAGACGCTCTGAAATAAACTAAGAGGATCAAACTAAAATTTACATGGTTAAAAAAACCATTTAAAATAAAAAACAACTATCACACGTTTCACCTAAGAAACTTCTACTCACACAAGCAGCTCACTTTCTATCGTCTGCTACAACACCCTGTAACAGGAAGTTGTCTTGAAATGTCATTCAAAGATATTGTACTATCATCCATATCGGAGTGATTTTTACACATGATATAAATATAATAGAATTGACCTTTTAAGACATGTTTGGAAAACATGGAAATGTGACCTTTGGACCTTAAAAAAAACCCACGTTGTGAAATACAAAATAAAAGGTCCCCTGATAAATACTGCACACATGCCTAGAGGTCCTCCTCACCAACGCGTGGACCCAGTTAACGCTCGCGCACAACATTGTGTTTTAAAAAAGTAATAAAATAGTCCTGAGTGGAACGAGGAATGAAGCTATTATTGCACAAAGTTAAAGTTCAATCTGTTTTAAGAAAGCTTTCTGAATCAGCCGGCCACCAAACGTGATCTCTGCTGATCTTCAGTGATAAACCAACATCTCTATCAGGAAAGAACAGACGGACACACGTCTTCTTTCAGGTCTCTTCAAGTAGCTTCCGAAGGTTTCTTTGAATCTGGGATTTAGAAAGAAAAACATTATAAAACAGCTCACATCAGTTTAGTGTAGAGTTCCGAATTTAGTTTCTTGCCGAGAGTTGGACGAGGAGATCAACACGACTCCCGCATCTGTCATCTGACACGGGATTAGCTTAGCTTAGCACAATGACTGATGACTTTACAAACTCTCTGGCACGCAATCGGTGAGGTACAATCCATGTTTTAAATATGGAGCAAGTAACACGGGCGAGTTACTGAAGTTGCACAAACCGTTTCTAGCTTGAGCAAGTTGGAGGACAGCTCTCCGTAGATCTCAGCGTTCACGTCCTCCGGAGGCCGCTGGCCCACCGCGTCCCTGCAACACGCACCAGAATCATTCACCCAAACCAATGTGAGACGTGGGTTGGGAAAAAAAAAGAAACGGGCCCGAGTGCATTGGTCCAACGTCCAGGTGGCCGTGACGCCTGCATCGCCGCGGTAACGGTCCGGCTCTTACGCGCCACGGACGTGCCGGCCCACAGAGACCAGGGAGTTCAGCCGGTGCTCCAGAGCCACGATCTTGAAAGCCATGTAACAGGAGGACAGGACGAGGACAGCGACCCTGTGAGGAGGCGAGACAGACACAGTCAGGACCACCGTAACAACCGTAACGACGGTCGCCTGGTATCCATGGTGACCACGTCTACTGACAGAAACAAATAGAGGAGGAGGATGGCTTGCAGGGACGCTGGCTGCGAGGATTTGTCTTTGAGCTTCGTGGACCCTGCGAAGGGAAAATAAAGCAATATTCACTTGGAAATAGAAGAATAGAAGTAACGCAACTTAAAAAAAGGAGTATTTTTACATTTTTGGGGAAATATACCTCATGCATTTATCTCGCGTCTGTACAGTAAACCATTAAACTCCAGGAGACAGTTAGCGTAGCTTAGCATAAAGACCGGAAACGCGGGGATTGCGTGTAAACTTCTCATCATATTATTGACAACTAAAGATAATATATTTTTAGCCATTTATTTAAGTTATTTTCATCTATCATACTCCCTCCAATAAACAGGTTATCTTGTAATGACGCCTGGCAGAATCAGGCTAGCGGTTCGCTCCTGTTTCCAGTCATTATGCTAAGCTAAGCTAATCAGCTGTAGCTGGCACAGGCACGAGAGTGGTCTCCTTCTTTTCATGTAATGCTCAGCAGGACAGCAAATAAAGAGTATTCTCCATTATTACTGATGTGTTCGATCTGTATTTCCTCCTCAAAGGTAAGAAGCACCAAACTACCGTTGTTCAGGGCGGCTCCGTGTTTTTGGCTCGGAGTCTGAAGGTGAACGTCGGCGTGGACCGACACCTCGGCGCTCTTCACGGCACTCAGAAACGTGTCCGGGAAGTCTGCTCAAACACAATAAAAAGAGAACCCGTGACTGCGGCGCCCTGAGTCAATACTACTACGTTTACGTTTTAGCGGGTCGCCTGCGGGACGACCAAGTCTTAAGATGTCGTTCATCGTGCGAAGGGATAAAACCATGTTTCCACGTCTTATAACACAAATAAAAGCCTCCGCGGCTCAAGTTTCACTCGGCTTCCCTCCAGCTATTTGTAAACCAAAGACTGTCCGAGCCACAGCGACACCCGACACCCAGAAGGGAGGGAACCGAACGCAGTTAAATGGAAAGAAGCGAGTGCGGTAGAATGAAGTATGTGTAGGGAACACGTGAGGACGGAAGAAAACGCACCAGATATTTTGTCATAATCTGGAGTCTGAGAGCCGGAGCTGCTGCTCTCCATCATCTCCTGTCGCCTCTGCTGCACCACTCCACCCAGGTGGGAGAAGTCTGCAGAAAAGTCCTGCGGTGCACACACAGAAACCAATGCAAAATGTAGGATGGGTGCCACACACCGAGGAGGTATTGTGCAACATGAGAACAAGGTTGTTTGCTAATACACAATGTGCACCCTGACTGACCAAAGGAAGCGACGTGGGGCATTTCCCCCTGAAGCTGTTCTCACAGGAGGAAATAAAGGAGCTGCTACAAGTCTTATCCACCTGGAAGGACACACATCAGCACGGAGAAGAAAACGTATTTATTTAAGGAGCACTAAAGGTTTCGCCGTTTCTGGTCTTCACAACCTGTTGAGGGAAACATCTGCCGGGTCAGCTGACAATCGCTCCACTATTTTCACCAGCTGGTCTGCTGTTTATTTTAAATGCAAGCGTGTTATTGATTTTATCTTTTGCTGGACCGTAAAATATCATAAAATGGTGCAAAACAGCGCATGACATCTTCTTAGAGGCCGAGGTGACGTCTTCAAACAGCATTTGGGGGAGAAAATCAGTCCTTTGATTGACACTGTTTCTCTCATCAATAACAACAATGAAGAATCTAAACAGAAACCATTGAGTTCTATCAGGACAAATAAAACAGAAAAGGGTCACTTACGTCCAGGTGAATGCAGATGGAATTCAGGAGTTTGTAGGTGTTGTTTCGTGAGAGGAAGGAAACAAACACATGCTGGAAAAACAGTATTTTCTCATTACAATCAAGTGACAAACGTCATAAACGCTGAGCATGTGAACCTGCGTCTTCTCACCTGATCACTCATGGTTTCGATCACCAGCGCGTTCGGCACCAGCAGCGCCGTTTTCGTTTTCTTGATGAAGGTCACGGACGCCGCTGGGATGGAAATCTGGAATAAAAATATATCTTTATCTTCTTTTTTTTTCTTTTTTAAACCACGCGAAGCGCCGCGCAGTCGATGGGCGGGTTGCCGCGGTGACCGCTGTCCCAGCGCACCTTGGTATCTCTGCCGAAGACTTTGGAGTGGAAACAGATCCAGTTGTCGGAGACGAACATTTTTCCCTGGTACAAGATGTCTCTCTGCAGGGCGCAGGTGTAGCCTGTTGACACAAACAGCGCCTTCAGCGTCGCCACGGTAACCGCGCAGGCCGGAGCAGGGTTTAAACAACACACTCACTTTGCTTGAGGAGCTCCTCTCGTCTGACCTCCTTGAACAACTTGTGATACTGGCCGTTGGTCTTCGATAACTACAACAACAAAAAAAATAAATGTGGGTTTGTTTTGTCGAGCAAGAGTGTGAGAGTGTGTTTGTCGTGTGTTGTGTTCGGACGTGGCCGTACGTGAGTGTGCTGGGATTTTTTCCTCTCGACCTTCGGACTCGGCAGCGGAGACGGTCGCTCGGCCGGTCTGGTTCTGACGGAGCGAGAGAGAGAGAGAGAGAGAGAGAGAGAGAGAGGGAGAGAGAGAGAGGGAGAGAGAGAGAAGGTGAGCCTCAGGGTTAAAGAACGCAAAGACGTCCTTCGTGTGACGGCGAGACGCCGGAGCAGCAGACGGGTCCGTAAACACCAGTCGGTCACGCGGGTGTGATTACAGAGCCGGTACGACTACTTCAGGGAAAACAATCCGGGTTTACACCAAATGTCTCTTCTATTGGTTAGATGTCTCCAAAACTATCATTTAAGTCGTTTACAATTTAAATAAATTTGAATTTATCAGCGTAATTGTTTAATTACTATTTTATTTATGTGTGAAATGACACAGTTGATAACAACGAAGCAAAGACAAGAATGTTTGAATTTAGTTATTTTTCAGGCCACAGCAATTGTTTTGATTTTAAAAGGTCAATGTGCAACTTTAGTTTTTCTTAATAAGAAACTAGTGTGTAATGTTGTGAGTCTGTCCCTATTTATACTATTTTATTCTTGTACAACTTCAATGGGAAAAACAAAATAACATTAGATAAAAGTAAAAGAAAACTATAGTCATTTTTTAAATAATGACTCAATCACCGATGAATCGACGGTTATTCTACAGCCATCAGTAACCTTCCTCACCTCATGCCGCCTGGTTTCCTGAGGCCCTCCGGGGGGTCCGCCGCTGTGTCCAGACACAGCTGCAGGCCTCCAGGTGAGCCCCCCCGCCTCCTGTGCCTCCTCTCCCCCCCGGGATCCGCCTCCGACCTGCGGACGTCACACGTTCAGTCCGCGGAGCGTAGCGTTGTGGGGGATAAAACAGACCCATCGGCCCGCGGTCATATGACACGATTCTCCCCGCGCCACGTACGCGCCGCGCGCCGCGCTCCCCGGACAGCGGCGCGCGGCGCGCGTTATTGCCACGAAACAAACAAAAGCGCGACTTAAAAATGCAAATGAACCCGAGGTGCACGAGGCCTGGAGGGCCGGAGCCAGGGGCCCTTCGCTCTCCATCTTATCCGCACTTACCGGTTCCCTCGGGAGTCCCTGTTGGAGAGCTGCTCCGGGGCGGGGAGCGGGGTCACCGGTCGGTCCGCCTGCTCGGTCATCAGCACCATGTTGGGGTATAGTTCATATTCCACGCGGCTCCATCCGACACGACACAGAAGCTTCCCAGGAAGCCTTCGACAAAGAAACTTTTCTTTCCCCCTTTTTTTTTTTTTTTTCTTTGGGAAGCTCCGAGCAGAGGAGGAGCCGGGAAAATGGGAGGAGGGAACAGCGGGGGAGCGCGAGCAGGGAACAAGAGTCTGGGTCGTTTTTATAAACATTGTAGAGGAACCTTATCTGCTTGTAACTAAAATACAGAAAAAAAAACTCTTTGCGTAAATTTCTTTTTAAAAAGTCCAAAACTTTTGGAGTTGCTGGTTCCAAACTGCCTCGTTGTCCCGCGTTAACGCTGCACCTGCGGGGGTCTACCGGCGGGGGGCAGCAGAGACCAGGTGAGCTCTGCTTTCAGGTATTTTAAAGGTTTCACGGTGTAAAAACCCCCAAATACAACTTAATTCAAACTACAAAGTTATAATCAGCAAACGTACCGCACTTGGGTACTTTTTATAGGGATTGTACTTAATTAACTGTCTCCTGCTTTATACTTTTACTTCACTACATCTCAGAGAGAGAAATATTGTACTTTTTACCCCATTATATTAATTGTTACTTTGGAGCTTCAAATGAAAAGCTATAACAAAAACATGATGGTGTATTAATAATATACAGCTACACATGCACCAGCAGTGAGTAAAACATCAATGCATCAATAACAATCATTACATAATATAATATATATCAATCCGTAATAACTACTATTATTTTACAAAAATGGTAATGCTTTTACTTAAAAGTATTTTTTACAGAGTGATGCGACTACTCAATGGAATTATTTTGAGTACTTCTTTCATCACTGTACTTGAGATCAGTTTTTTAGGTTTTCACTTACAGTTAAAGATGTAATTGATCATTTTCACTTTTGTTTGTTTTTTGTTTTTCTTGAAGCTAAAGGAGTTTTTACAGTCAGAACAGTTTGATTGTAGAATAGGCCAAATGTCAAAGACATCGACACGTGTTATTCAGATGATGTGGCACATCTGTATGACCTCGTAGGCTACGCGTGTCTCGGCTGTACTTCCTGTCTTTGACCTCCAGGCGTCGCTGTCGCAGCATTTAACGAAAAAAACTCAGCCTCTGGGAGGAAAACACTTCATATTATACGACAGGCACAGCCGGCAATTCAGGCTAGCAGCTAGTTAGCCTGCCATTGATCGTGGCTGACAGGGAACACACAGGGTCAGAGGTCAGAGAGCTGACAGAGGACTCGGTTACAAACAGCCAGCTTGTTCACAGGCGAGACAGAGCTGAGAGACACGAGAGAGTTTGTTGAAATGTGAAGCGTTGATGTAAAGCTGCATAAATACAACATGTTTTTCATAATTATTCTAATTCGCCGATTATAATTACAGTCAAAACACTCGTTACTGTTTGAATTAAATATGAATGTTCGACTGATCGTGGTAAATGTCAAAATAAAAGTTGAAAATGCACCACAAAGGGAATCAAGTTTTCTGCCACTACCAACAGTGTTAATAGAGCAGGGGAGGTTAGCTTAGCTTAGCATAAAGACTGGAATCCGGGGGAAACACCTAGCCAGGACAAAAAGTTTAATCCACTTTTAGTAAAAGTAGAAGTAAAACATTTATACACATTGTATTATAACCCCATTATGGTATTATCAGAATTTTCTATTCAGTAATTACTCAATGTAGAATTTGGCATTTCAATCTGTATGTTGCAGTTCTTATTTTGTTAGATTTTTTTTTAACATACAACAATTTATGTTTTCCAAAATCTTACCTAGAAAGTTAATTAATTAATTAGAAAGTAATTTGGTTCTAACTAAAAAATAATAACAATCAAGTTTTTCGTCGGTAAAAATAAAAAATAAATAAAATATATTTTCTTTAAGGAGATTACTCATTTGCTAATATTTAGTCCCAAATTAAGCACTTACACACTTATACACGTTCATTCCTAAGAAACTATTAGCAGATGACAAACCAACATACTAAAGATGCTGCCAAACACATTCATCTGTACAGAGTGGAACATATTCCTATTCAAATGTGATGGCATTAAAACTATAAAGTGCTAATCAACTAGCTTCCCCCCCCTGCTCCCAGTCTTTATGCTAAGCTAAGCTAACCCTCTCGTGACTGCGGAGGCCTCTCTATTCGGAGCCGGTCGGATATTCCGGCGCAGGAAGACGAAGAGCGAGGCCGACGCGGAGGCAGCAGGGCGCCGCCGCTGTGTGCAGGCAGAGTGCGCGAGAGAGAGAAGAAAAATTGGTGCTCGTGACGGGGGGAAGATTGAAGTCCTGTTAAGTGCTCTGCTTGAAAGCATGTCTGGCCTCATTAGCTGTCAGCTGTAACAATGGCGAACTGGCAGTGAAGACAGGTCGGAGTCTGGTGGTCATAAATCACTCCTCGACAGCCGCCCGACAAGCTGGGAACCAGTACACAGGCAACGGGCACCCTCTCGCCCCCTCTCGCCCCTCTCGCCCTCTCAGCCTGTCAAGGCGCCGCGCAGGCACCCTGCGGTCCCATCAGAATCATCAGAAATCACGCGGAGCAAGAACAAGAAAAGGGAAAAAGTCGTGTTTTGTCAGAAGGAAATTGCTTTTATTTCACATGCATGTGCACTCGCCCTCACCCCCCCCACCCCCCTCCTTCCTCCTCGCCTGCATGACTGTTTCCATTAGCTAAATGAGTAGTGTGACTTCTGTGTGGAGGAGGTGGAGGTGGAGGAGGTGGGGGGGGGGGATAAAGAGCAAGGGCAGCAGGTCATTAATCACGGCCCCTGACATGCAGAGCAGGAGGCCAAGGCTCCCCTATGCATACAGCTGCTGGGCCACACTCAATGCACAGTGGTCACCCCCCCCCCCACACACACACACACACACACACACAGACACACTAACACACACAAACACACACTCACAGCGCCTGTGGCTCTCATCTGTCCGACTCCCTCTCCGTTTGTGTCACTCATTCGAGCTGTCAGACGCCACCTCCTCTCGACCAACCGCAGCGCAGGTTTTTATTTCCTTTCACTTTTAGCTCGCGTGGGTGAAGGCAACTTCGTCCCGAACGTGGCGGCTCCGGCGCTTCTCGGGTCCAGATGATGATCTGGGAAAACGACGGAGCGGATCGCGGCGGACTCGGAACGCTCCCCGGGAGATTAGTCCTCGTGGCTTTTCCGGTGATCCCCTGACATTTCCTCCCGCTCCGCCACGAGGTTGACATTTGTGTTTCAAAGTGAAACGTCTCCACGATTCATTGGACGGATTGCCATGAAATTTGCTACGGGACTTTCGTGCCGCCCTCAGCGCGTGGCCTTCGTAGGTCAAAAGGAGGACTGCGTAGCCGGGGAATGTTCTGGGAAAGAGGCCGGGATTTACGGGATTAAAGTCGTCAGTTTACAAGAAATTAAACTCAGAGATTAAAGTCACAAATTCACAAGAAAACCAACTATTATCTTCTCCGAGATAAAAATGGCAGATATATACAAGAAAAGCACAGACGCAAAAAAAAGATGAAATGGCCCTTATATTACCTCCTATTAAATAACTATATCTTTATATAAATAATCAGCTTCATTTGAACATTTGAAAACATACATTTTTCTAATGTGTATCCACGAATATTTGTCCAATACTTTGGTTCATGAACAAATACCATCGATAATAACAATATTCCCATCAACCAAAGCTGTATTAAAATAGCACATGTTAGCACGCTAACACGCTAATCTAACATCCGCACGTGGGCGATGCCGTTGTTAGCATTTGGCATTTCTCATTAATCATTTTGGATCTAAACCCGACTCATAATCCAGCGGCTGTGCTTCAGCTTTATTAGTTAAACATCTGGGACAGAGCGAGGTCAACCAGTAAAAGACACTGGGAACTAATTGTCCTGCTCAGAGGGAAGGGTGGAGGTGGTTCTTCACTATTCCCACCCACGTCCCCACCAGCTCGTCCGTCACGACACAACTGCGCTCCCGCTAATCTCTTGGTTGCCGCGGCTCTTTTCTTTACTTTATACGTATGTGTATGTATATATATCTAAAAAGGCCGGGGGTATTGTGGCTGGGGGTGAGGGCCGGGTCGGGTCGGTCCGAGTGAGCCTGACAGCTCCGGTGATTAATGATGACAAAGTGTGGAGCTGCTCCTTCATCACACAACAAGCCTTTAACCTCTCAATCGGCCCGAAACCGGCGCTCGGAGAAGAGAAGCAGAAGAAGAAGAGGAACCAGGTGGACGGGCTCCCCGAGACGCCGGAATTGTTTCTTAAAATTAAAATCATCAAGTCGCAAACCACAAACACGTGGTCTGAATTGTGTCTGTGCGTTAAAAACTGCTCTGCGTTGGTTTTGTCGTCTCTGCGTCTCTTCATCGTCCGAGCGTGAGCTCCAAAAATAAAGAGGACACAGATGTCAGCCGGCTTCACGCTGATGTTTCTAAAGAAAATACAAATAAACACCATAAGAGGGAGGAAAACTCTCTTTCATGTGCTTAGTTGAAAGATTGAGATTGACAATATTTCACTGCAGTGTCCACGTGTCCTCGTGCAGCCTTTTCCCGAAGAAAAGTCCGGCAACGTGTGTCGATTTCCGTCGGTTAAATCACAGGAAACAACCAAGTTATGATGAGGAAAAGATTTGTCGTCTGGGTTAAAATAACTCCAGATGTCAGATTCTTACGTAAAATATCTTATTCCACCTCGGTTTAAATATTCTTCGATCCTACGTTACTTTTTGAATGAGCCTCTCAGGTATTTCTATTACTTTTACGCGAGTAAAACACCCGCGAGCTGTTGGAGGGAGGTCAGCGGCGTGCGGAGGGCCCCAGCTGGTTTCGATCTGGCTCCCGAGGGCTCCTCGCTCAGTTGTCAGCTCTCATGCATCACAGGCACCGGCGCTCCGTGGAAAAAACGTGCTTTGGCAGCGACCGGCGGAGGCCTGGAGCCCAGCGGTGCTGCTGGGTTTAGCCGCATGCAGAGGTGGGGGTGGAGGAGGTGGAGGGGCGGTGTGGAGGTGGGGCGGGAAGGGGGAGGGGGGGGTGTTGGTGACACCCGTCCTCTCCCTCCCACATGTGGATCCTCACGGTCACATTCCCTCATTCCTTTGGGGTTTCCGACCTCTCGGTGAATGACAATTGGCAGCCGTGACCCGGGAGGCAGACGCCCCCCGAAACGGAGAGAAAGACCCTCCGAAATACAAACACACACACACACACACACACACACACACACACACAGCTATAAATGGACGGCAATGGAAAGAAAAGAAAAAAGCACAAAAAAAGAGGACAAACCAGAATGAGAAAGAGATGCCTGCATGGAAATAAGGAGGCATGATTACTCAAGCTCCGCCATTAAGAAGGAAATGTTGTTTTTCGGGCTGTCAGGATGATTAATGAGGGGCAGAAAATCCACTCAAATGCTGTTGTTTAGTCTAACCAGCAGACCCGATCTGTGCCGCTAACGTGGAGCAGACAGGATGTGTGTGTGTGTGTGTGTTTTACCAACCCTATGAGGACATCATTCTGATTACAAAGCAACATTGTGGGGACCCGCCCTCATTATGGGGGGAAATGACACGTGCCCATGACGTAAATAATGACATTATTAAGGTATGAAATTAAGGGTACGGTCAGGATCGGCCAAGTTCAGGGTTCTGCTTTTGCAGAAGTCGATTGCTATCGAATGTTAGCATGCTTGGCTAAGCCTTCTGTCACACAAGATTAAAAAAAAGATTCATTCTGTTATTACAACATTGAGAAATACATTACATACAGAAATACATACATTGAAATAGCAGGAAGAACCAGCTCTCTGCAATAGAAGATCAATCATTTTTTCCAGTTTGTTCTGATGGGCCAGAATGACGTGAGAAAGTCCAGATGTTAACCCCAAGAAATCAGGCTGGAAGGCTGATAAGGAATCAGCTTTCAGCAGATGCTTCGTTCCTCGCGACTCGTGATTGATGCTGAATGATGAAACACGGCGTCACCGCCTCTCAAAAGCCTTTCAGAATTAAGAGAGCAGCTGCGAGTTCAGGTGACGTCACGTCGGGACAAATGAGACGGCACATTCGTTTTCTGGCTGATGTGTTTGTTACAGTATGATATACAATCACTGGAGATAAGTAGGTGGCTGCAAATACAATATTATTAACTCAAGAAGTTAAAATTAAAGTTTATGAAACTAACATTTTCATTTTCTACTAATATGCCTTTTTTATTTTTCAGTTCATTGTAATTTGCTTGTTGTTTTCTGCGCTGTGGGATCTAGATGAACGCGCCAGGGAAAAGCAGGTATGTAAACCTTGAGTTTCTTAAAAAACTTTTGGGAGAAATTCAAATATAGAATATTTAAATGAATGAATTGCATTTTCAAGGAATAAAAAACAGTAAAAAAAACGTAAATGCCTCAATGTAAATGCTAACATTATCTTATAGTTCATAAAAATGTTCCTGGAGAATAAACTTCTTTGAAATTTATAATACAATTTATCACATTTTTACAATCTATCCCGTAAAGTGTGAGTGCCACGAATGTATGACTTCAATAGTTCTTGTTCTTCGAGTCCAACAGCACAAACATACAAATCCATCCCCAAAATATCTCAAAATGATGAAACAGCATTGAGTTTGAGAATACGTGTCACCATTATTAACCAAAAGTGCACCATATTCTATATAAATTTTTTTAGATGTTTGTAGAAAAACAAGGAAATACTGATAAAAACCCAAAAAACACTCGGCTCCCTTCAGCAAAAAGACAAAAAATACATAACCGTCATTTCCATTACTTAACTTTACTGGTTCATTCATCGGGACAAAACTCACAACACATTACGTGATGTTTGATCCGCACGGCGCTCCCTGTGATGACGTCACACATCAAGAGACCGTGACTCGTCACTGTGGAGCTTCCTCTGGATTCAAAAGGTGAGCGACAGGCGGCCTCCCTGTCCAACGCGATCCCTCCCGCTTGAGCGCGGTGAAAAACACACAACTTAAATCCATCATCAGATCCGCTAATCAGCTTAAGTGCACAGCGGTGAACGTCGGGGCCTGCGGGAGGATTTGAGGCCCCTGAAACCAGAGCGCCTTCTCTTGTTACAGCTGTGCGTTGATGTAGATTAAACTACACAACAGGATATGAGGGAGTCGCGATGCTGCACACACACATCTGTCAATGACAAGAGGCAAACAGGTATAGAATAAAACGAGTGAAACGTACGAGAGGAATTATGTTAGAACAGGACTGAAGGAAATGAAGACAACAGAATTTACATCTTCAGTGTGATTTATTTAACAAAATATGACCTCCACTTTAACTGGACACCACCGCAGGGTGTTCAGGTTTTACATAAAAATATCACATCTCATTGTTATTGACTTTCTGTGGAAATAACAAAAACACTAAGGAGTTATGACAGAGAGAGGGAAGTTCTCAACATCTGTCACCCGGGCTTCAAACATGTCCGCTCACAGGATTGTAAAATGAGAATAGATTTATAAAGTAAACAAGGAAAGCCAGATCCCCAGTAAAAAATAAATACAACTTCTCAGTAGGAATAAACAAAACATAACAAACCCAAACAAGTCATTGCAAACCACCAGGCTGAATAAACAGTAAAAGAGCGTACGCTGCGTCGAACATGCATCTCTTTGCGGGGGGGGGGCTGCAGGGTTCGCGCAGCGGCCGAGCATCAACCTGCAAGAAGGCCGCGGAAAAAAAGTCTCCCAAGGGCCAAAAAGATGGCACGGGGGGGGGCTGCTTAGAAACCGCCAAATCTCAAATATATAACGGGCGAAGAAAGTGTTGAAAGTTCGGCCTTTGGGAATCTTTTGCTGCTTTTTGGTGGATACACGCGACCCGTCCGATGAACGTGGAGCTACAGCTGGTTAGCTTAGCTTAGCACAAAGCCTTGAAATAGATGGAAGCGACTAGCTCTGTGCGGCGGCTCCCCGGAAGGTCACTTATGAAGACGTTACATCTCGTTTGTTTAATAGTTACAAGTGTACTGAAGGGTACGATATTAATTTGTAGTTTATACGCTGGACTATTGCTCGGCTTCCGTCGTTGTCCATGGAAACAATTTCTCCGTTCATGTATCAAACAAAAACGAGGCTAGCAGTTTCCCCCTGCATCCAGTCTTTGTGCTAAGCTAAGCTAACCGGGCTGTGGTTAAGACTCCAGAGGATTATCAATCATCAATCTTCCAATCCGACTTGAATAAGTGCATTTCCCATAATCCCGATCGTCCCCTCTGAACATGTCAGTGTGGGGAGAGGGGAATGGGGGGGGGGGGGGTATCACTGGTAGCCCAGAGCAGATGCAGATCCAAGTCTTTGACTGTAGAGAGCGTAGTGGGGGTAGTACGGCCCCCGTGCTGGGCAGAGAGTGCAGGGAGATGGAGGACGGGCCGGGGGGCAGATGGACCTTGTTGTAGGGGTGATAGCGAGCTAAGCCCAGGCCCGGCGGCGCCCTGAGAGACAGGGAGCTGTGCATGGCGCCCGCGCCGCTCTGGTGGGGGAGGTGGAGGTGGCAGGAGGCCGGCCCGGAGGAGGAGACGGAGAGCATCTTACCGTCCATCCCCAGGGGCAGCGCCGTGTGAGTGCGCAGGTGAGCCAGCAGCTCGTCGGACGCGGCGAAGCGCTTGTCGCACGGCCCCCCCGCCGACACCCAGTTGCAGGCGTGCGGCAGGGGGTCGTTGGGGAGCATGAAGCCGTACGTGTAGAGCGGATGCGACAGGGACGAGGACACGCTGGACGACATGGAGCTTTGGTGGTGCAGGGAGTGCAGCGGGTGGGACGGGTACACCAGCGGGGGGTAGTTGGACTTGAGGGCGGGGGAGGGGTCGTGGATGCAGGAGTTGCAGTTGCCGCCGCCGCCGAGGTGGGACACGCCGGGGAAGCTGAGGCAGTAGGGGTCCCTGCATAAGCTCTGCATGAAGGACGGCGGGGAGGCGCCCGTGAGAGGGCTGGAGCTCGGGTGCTTTCCCGGCCCCCCCATGCCCAGGCCCGACTTGGTCGGATCCATCCCGGGGGCGAACGGAGACGGGTAGCCGGCGTACGCCCCCACCACGGAGCCGTGGTAGCCCATGCCGGAGGAGGGCAGGGGGAAGAGCTGGCCGGCCTTGTAGGGGGAAATGGGCGTGATGCGCCCGTGGGCCATGTTGGGGTGCGCCGACTCCGCTTTGCCCCCACCTCCGGGTTGGAGCCCCGTCGGAGCTGCCGTTGCTGCAGTTCGTGATGGCCCGGCCGTGGCCGGAGTTGGCGTCGTGCGGACTGTCCGGGCCGGCCTTGTCGCCGTCGGGCTCTTTTTTGGCAACGCTGTTACTGCTGCCGGTGGTGCTGGTGGGGCTGCCCTGCTCGTAAGCGCCCTCTCCCCCGGGGGTGCGAGTGCGCGGCTGTCCACCAGGGGACGGGCTCAGTTTGTGGCGGTGGTGCTGAGCGTGCCCTGGGGGGGTGCTGCTGCCGGCTCTGGAGCCGGGGGAGGCAGCGGGGGCCGGGTAGGACTGCTGGCCACCGGCGGGGTTTCCGACATTATTGCCGGGCACCCTGAACCCGACTTTATCGCCGCTGCTGGTGACTCCGTCTCTGCGACAGTCCCCCCCGCCTTTGCTGTAGGGCTTGAAGCTACACTTGTCCTCCGGGGAGGGGCGGAGCTCCCCGTGCTTCAGGCCGGAGCCGGACAGCCGGCCGCCGGGCTCCTTGTCGCCCTGGCTGCTGGAGGAGGCCGGCTTGGAGGAGGACGGAGGGTCTGGTTTACCGATCTGAGAGCAGGTCTGAGCCAGCAGGGCCAGCGGACTCTTCTTGGCATCCAGCTTGAACAAAACAAAGACTCTGATTAGCTGCTTTTAATGCGAAGAATAAATAAAAGGTGATTAACCAACTGCCTGTTGGTCCCTCGTGGGTCTGTTAACGAGTTACTAGCAAGTAATTAGCTGTAAAATAATTGTCAATTCATCCCTTCACCATAAGATCACAGACGTTTCAGTCAAATTATCCGCTTCAAGCTTGTTAAATAAAACGCTTAAGTTTATACGAATCAATAATGAAAATAATTAACATTTACTTGTTAAATGACCAATTTGAAAGCAGCAAACACAACTGACTTGATTATTGATTTATTCTAATTGACTATTAGACTATTCGATCCTGCCCTTATTAAACCATAAGTTGTCATTACCTGAGAGTTGATATGATTAAAGACCAGCTAACGTGATCGGTCACAACACTGAGGCGGAGACGCGTTTTCTTTTGGATTTTATTCTCTTCTAGAATTTAAATTATTACGACCCAGCAGAGCAAATCCACCCAAAGGGAAACATTCCTTTCCAAGCGATGTGTTTTTTTTTCTTTCTCTTCTCTTCTTTTAACGACAAATAAATACCTCGATGCTCACGGGCGCGGGCGTCAGGGGCTGCAAATATTCCGGGTGCAGCAAGTGCGCGGTGTGCGCCGTCAGCATCTTGAGGACTCGGATGGGAAGCCGCTTCGCCTGCCGGAGTGGGTCCAGAGGGGCCAACAGAGACACCGCGGCACCGGGACGGGGCTCGGTTCTGTCGCTGGGGGTCGCGTGGAGCTCGAGGCGCGTGCTTGCTGATCCTGAAGGGAGATATTTCATTGGAGACGCCGCTGCGCTTTGGGTGGACGCGCGTCACGGCTCGACTTTTAGTCCCGGGTGGTGTTTACGGCTGGTGAATGTAATCCATGCAGTCACGGAAGTATGTGGAGGGGGCGGGTGGGGCGGGTGGGGGGGACAAAAAAGAGAAATGAGAAATCACACACACAGCTGGACGTCCTTAAATGTCCCGAGGGACGGAGGATCCTCTGAGCTGAGGCATCGCCGACGCGGCTCCGCTACTCCGATTTCAAACCCCCCGGGGAGGAAAAGCCACAACGCGCCTCTGTGGGAATCGTGCGCAGGGATGGAGACGTGGGGAAAAAAAGTTGATGTAGTCCGGGTGTTCCAGAAGAAACGTCCCACTGCGTGCCGTCGGTCCGGACTTCTGCTTCTCACTGATCAAAACGGGCAGGACTTCGGGGTGGGCGGGGCGAGGGGCGGGGCGAGGGGAGGGGAGGGGCTACGGCGTCCTCAAAGTGACAATTCTATCCGAGCGTCCCATCGCTGAAGAACACAAATAAATACAAAGTGTTGATAATATATATATATTAAGTCCCTGAATCATAAGGTAAGTGAAAGCATCAAAATGAAAACAATATGCATAACTTTTTATTTGGGATTAATTCATGTCATTGCATTACTGTGTTTGTCACTTGCAGGAGGTGAAAAGTGGATCTCATTTAAAGGACTTTACTGTAATAATAAGAATTCGCAATTTATTACATGATTTTTATTTCGTTTGAGTCTGAATTTGCAAAGTAGCAGCAAAGAAAACCACTCAAGCAAAGTACAAGTACCTCACAATTGTGCTTAAGTGTAGCACTTGAATACATTTACATTCCACCAGTCTTCGCATTCTGAGAAACAAAAGTTTATTCTCACGTAACTTATTTATAACTTATTTTGCCAAACACTTCAGCTTGTTATAGCATTAAATATGCAGCAGATTGGTTATGAACCGATAAGTGTCATGAACCCGCCTGTTACCAGCAGAACAATGTGATACTGTTCCTGGGGACTTTTGTTTTCTCTTTACTTCATTAATCATCCGTTTATCTGATCTCCATACTTGATGAGTCAAGGCCGAGTCAGGACACAGGACCAACTGTCCTAAAGAAAATTACCCATTTAATTCAATTTCACGCAGAGAACAAAATAATCACGTCCATCTTTTGTGAATGTATAAAGTTGTGTGGCCTCTTATCCTGGAGGATATCATCTGTAAGAGGTGTATTGTCTAGACGTTTTGGCTGATCAGGAGACGCGCAGATCAAATAAAGCATAAAATTGGTGGGTATAAGAAATTGTCGACCGTGACTAAGAGAAGTGATATGATCTCACATGAGGTTTCAGATCATACGGTTCAATCTCAAGGTACATTTTTAACATCTTTGACGTACAAACATTTAAACTCAAAGGATAGTTTGTATGGAAAAAAAATTTGGCTCAAAATGTCACAAGGTATAATTTACAGCTCGTTAGACTTCTAAAAAGATCCAAAGTCTCGAGCGGGAACTTTCCCGCTGACAACTTGACGGAGAGGAATACCACGAGTGTCCTGGGCCGCATGCGGTGCCTGAACCCCGTATTAAAAACTAAAAATGCACTTTGTGAGTGTCATGGTGCAGGGAACAAAGTGAGCGAGCGGTGGAAATAAGTTGTGTGGTCACATAAGTCATCCTTCACTCAGCTGTGAAAGAAAGTTGTTTTTCAAGTGTTTTCTAGAGGCTTAACTCAGTCAAATGTGATCACAAAGAGGTGATATGAGTTATATATATATATATATATATATATATATATATATATATATATATATATATATATATATATAAGTATTGACTTGCACTTTTATTTATTTAACTTCCACTGAATCAAAGTCCTGCAGCGATCGCAGTCTGCACATCCGTGGGCTGCTTACAGCTAATTTGGCACGTTGTTGAGGGTATAAAACAATGATAATGTTAAAATATTTCATCAATTTGACCCCTGTGAGCAGCTATTACATTATATGATATTTTTTAAATGGCATGACCCACTCTATTAAGACATCAAAACAAGAAAGGGGAGAAGACAAAAATGTAATAAACAGGCAGGACATATTTTCTAAATCATTAATTCTCTTTACTTTGAAGTTGACACATCGGTTTGCGAGTCACGCTGAAAATCACAATTACTTTAAAGACATTTGCACTCATTTTCTTTTAATAAAAAAAGGTTCAGACATGTTTTGTGGAGTGGAGTGACGGATTGCTTGTGTTCCGGCTTTCGCTCCAAGCATAAAAAAAAAGGAAAATCAATAAAGCACGCAGAAAATGTCACTCGAGTCTTTATTCTTTTCTTTTTTTAATTAATGCCGTTTTTTACCGTGGAAGAAAAATGTGATAAAGACGGATCGCCTCAATATTAATGGTTCTATAAATCTGGAATGTTAATAACTTTATTGCATTATCTCCTGCCCACTGACTTTGCAATGAGCTAATTTTGTTAACCTAACTATACAATGAATTTGTTAAAGTACTTAAAAATTACGGCTGACAAGAGCTATTAGCAGCAGCCCAAAATAGTCTCAGTTGGAGAGTCTTTGAATCTCTCAATTCTTTGCAGCCTCAATTGAGTGCGAAATCATCCCTAATCCCTCGTAACCTGTAGCCAAAAGGCTGCATAATGTGAATTAGCTGATGGATATTTGTACATATCCTGCAGGGTCCTCCTTAATCTTCAAAAGGAAATGGTTCACATGTGAATGCAGGGGAACGGGTTATAAATGAATACGGTAAATGGGTTAGGATGTGGATTATTTGGAACATTGTCTTTCGGGACTTGTCGACTATGTGAAGTCAGCATTCGGTCACTGTTTAAAAAAAGAAAAGAGAAGAACTGAAGCAACTGTCGCCTTGACCTCGAGCCCCGAACAGCAGAAACAGCCCCTCTCAGCAATCCATCAATGTCCAATTTGTGATAAGAAGCAGAGACTGGGAGCAGCATCTCATCAGCAAACAAGGTCACAGTGCACCGCTGCAGAGGAGACAGCACTTGGGGGGGGGGGGGTTGTCCTCCCCAGGTGTTGGCTTAGTACATCACTCCATATATCGGTGAGTCAAGGATCTAAACGTTAAATCATTTGATGAATCGCTGAGTATTTTACCGGTGCTGCTCCTGCAGATTTCAGAGTCGAAGCGCGTTTTCTTACATTGCACAAAGCCTAAATTAATTAGTATTAATGCTCCGAAGAATAGAGATCCGGCTGGGGAGATGGACGCTGAAGCCTCAATGCATCAGTCGGTAAAATAAAGTGAGAAAGAAGAGAAGGCATAATTTGGTCACTTGTTGTGTGCAAAGGAAAACGGCCTCAAATGGAAACTGATCATTCTCGGTTTACGATCGATAATTCTGCAGTAGCTATTTGTTTGGCCACATGGGAGCACCGACATATTAAGTTCTATGGAACATGAGCCAGAAAGTTTTCTCCAGCGTTTTATAACACAGGCAACCTGACAAAAGGAGTTGGTGAAAAGTATTATAATTTTATGAAATATTTTTTTATTTCTCAAGACTTTAAAAAAAGTAAATCAATGCATTCAAATTGGGCTATTTTCTGTTTTATTTCTCCCCGTCAAAACCTGCCGTCTACATTTACTACCACACAACTCTACATAGCTGGTTTGACTCAGAGAGGTGGTGTTGCTAAGCTACTAGCAGCTAACGTAGCATCAAGCCCCCCCCATCCAAAGGAGACACGATGTGCAGGTGCAGATCTCGTCAGATTGGAGGAATATTAGCTGGAGAAAAAGAGATAAACGAAGCAGCCGGTGGGGGAAAGAGGAGGTTCACTGCTGACAACGAGGCCTTCGGTAAACAAAGGGACTCTTCTCTTTAACTTCTCGTGACTCGCCTTGAAATCGGTCATTAGCTTTCCTCTCGTTCAAAGTGAGCCGTTTGCACCAGGTGAGGTGTTCGTACTGTGTTAAAAGTCAGATGGAGCACTTAGCGGCCAGCTGACTATTTTAACGCTTCCGGCTTTGTGCCTTAACAAGACGTCTGTAAAAGCGTCGTAAATAGTGATTACCGTATAAAAAGGTCACGTAGAAAAGGGCCTGCATTGTTTTTATGAATGCCATGTCCACCTGTCTAACCAGCATTCTTAAAATCATCAGGCGGTGGGGTTTTATTTCGGCACGCAGACATAAAAACACCCTCTTTGAGCAGCACGGATGCGTTCTGCGCGTCCTGTGGGCGGAACGATCCGGCTGCCAGAGGACGCCAGCCTGCGATCACGTTGTCCCGCGCTGCTCAGTTCAATTTCCTACGACATCAAAGATAGTTTTTCACACCCCTGCTAGATCTGGCTTTTTGAGTAGGATCTCGTTCCAAATACTCAGAGCTGCCTGCTGGCAACCGGGTGGAAAAAAAAAACAGGGTTTTAAATGCCTTGATTAAGGGAAAGTATATAAAAAAGAAATTCAAAGCAATTTTTATTTAAATACATGCTAATAAAAAGGCGAGTGCTTTAGATTCAAAAGCATAATAAGGCTTGTGCCTTCTACTTTAATCAAACTTCTCCAAAATACAACGGCAAACAGATTTTGGGGGGTTTTCAGGTTAAATGGGGACAAAATAAAACCCTTTCTGGAGATCTGCTGTGTGAGAGCCAAGACGCCACAGCGAAAGAGCTTAAAGGAACGTTAGCATCTATGCTAACAGGAGGCTAACAGGTAAAACGTATAAAAGAAGTGGACGTTGTCACCATGACGACAACCGTTTTGAAGCCTTTGCTTTGACGTTTTGTCCGTCGCCCTTTTTTTGGGAACTGAAATGTTGGAATCAGCTTTAATGAACTAAAAAAAAAGCTGGCTAACTACAGCTGGAAAAAAACAAAACCCAACAATGTCAGCAGCCGACACGCAAAATAAACACTTCACCCTTTATGGGGTCTTTTTTAATCATATTAAACTGTGTCTACTGTGATGGAAAGTTCGCCAGGCGTTTTAATAAAATACCTGAAATACTTTGCTGTTAATATACATTTACAGTCCCTTACATGTAAAGATATTTGACATCCAGTGGGGTGGAGAAAAAGTACTTTCTGCTTTTACCTTGGGGGGCGTTTGCGGGAGATCTAGTGGACCTTTGCTTGACTGCTGCAGGGAAATTGATTGTGACTGCGCAGCCCTGGAGGCGCTAAGCAAACCTTTCCACCGCTGCCTGCAGCCTTCACTCCACACGGTAGCCCGGCAATCATTTACCATCGATCTCCCCGCTGTTTGAAACACTTCGACGGATGCAAAGTGGAGGTCGGGCTTATCACATTTGTCAGGGCTCGTGCCACGGATTTATCCAAAGCCGACATCCATCTCACTCACATGGCTGCTACGCAATCGCACCGAGCTGCAGCGCGGCCTCCTCGGCGACGTGAAACCAATCAAATTACATCTTTTGGCCGGTAAAGAGGCCTTCTTCA